CAGAGATCCGCCTGCCTCTACCTCCCGAGTGCTGGGATCAAAGGCGTGCACAACCACTGCCTGGACTCTCTGAGCTTTCTTAAGTTGTTTTCTCTGAAAATAGCCTCTCAACCCCTCCCCTGCTCTCTGTAGCTGCTGTAGACTTCCATAGCTGACCCAACTCAAAATGACGTTCTTTCTCCTTTCCTCCCTCAGGTAGCTGCCTGCCCTGTTTTTCTCTCTTTCTCTTTCACAAATGCTAATAAAATTGTTCACAAATTTCCTTTTGTGTTATCTATTTTTGAAACAGGGTCTAACTTTGTAGCCCTGGATGCCCTTGAAGTCACAGAACTCTGTCTCCCTCCCCAGGGCTGGGATCAAAGGTGTGCACCACCAATTCCAGCTCTGACTCAATTTTTGAAGTTCCCTCCCAGCACCAGTGTAGCTCAGTATTGAAGGGACCAGCTTCCCTTTTGGCAGCCATAATGGCCGGCCGAACACGTGCTTCTATGACCTTGTCCCAGACACTAGAAAGTCAGATGCCTGCCTCATGACAAGGAACCAATCAGAAGTTAGCTGGTGGCGCTATGTTTTACGACCCTGGGTGTGCTTTAGGGACAAGCGCACAGCAATGACTCTCAGAGCATAGCAACCACCCTGGAAGGGCCTATGGGCCATAACAACCAGTTGACCAATCAACACAGGGCAAGCCCTCCAAGCCTGGAGGCACACCAATCCTGAGTCTGTGTGTACCCCTAGACACTCCCCTTACGCTGTCCTATAAGATCTCTTGGAAGCCCCTAGGAGCCGTCTTTTCTAGCCATCCGCCATGGCGGGTGGGTGAAAGACCCGAGCTAACATGGGGTTAGCCTGTTAAATTACAATAAAGCCTCGTTCAGTTTGCAGCAAGCTCTCGAATCTGCCTGGTGATTGGGGTGACCGCAAACGTGGCCTGGGACCCCGGATACTTGAGTTTTTGGGGGTCTAACTATCTAAATCCTTTCTCAGTCCTCTTGAAAACTCTTGAACTCTGCTGCAGCTTCTTTAATTTATATTTGTTCTATAAAGCATATATCTGCATATAGATATATAGATATATTACTGTGTACTGTGTGAGAAGAGAGTAATATTAGTAATTAAGATTGGAATAAAAGAACCTGCATTTGCCTTGGTAAGGTTGCCAAGGTAGGCAGGATTATATATATGACAAATTACTGTCATGAAACAGCTAAATCATATGAATTTATTGTTATTCAATAAATTCTGACAATTGTGGAACTACTTTCAATCACAGTGGATGGAAAAAGAAAGACATTCAGTGATAAAACCAAATTTAAACAGTATCTATCTACAAATCTAGCCCTACAGAAGGCAATAGAAGGAAAACTTCAACCTGACGAGGTTAGCAACACCTAAGAAGACACAATAAGTAATATCAGACCTGAAAATCAAAAGAGGGAAAAATAACTCATACTACAACAACAAAAGTGGTAACCAAAAACCACTGTTCATTGATGACTCTCAGTATAAATAGTCTCAGTTCCTCAATAAAAAGACACAGGCTAACAGAAAGGATGTGAAAACAGGATCCATTATTCTGCTGTGCCCAAGAAACACAGCTTGATGTCTATCAAGGATAGACATCAATTCATGGTAAAAGGATGGAAAAAGATATTCCAAGTAAATGGACCTAAGAAAGAAGTTGATGTAGCCATTTTAATATCTAACAAAATAGACTTCAAACCAAAACATATCAGAAGAGATAGGGAAGGACACTACATAATCATCAAAGGAAAATTCCACCAAGACAATATTATAATTTTTAACATCTACGTACCAAATACAAGGGCACCCAAGTTCATAAAAGAAACACAACTACAGCTTAAATCAGATATTGACCTTCACACAGTAATAGTGATAGTGGGGGACTTCAGTACCCCACTCTTGCCAGAGAAAAGCTAGACAGAGAAATGCTGGAGCTAACTGGCATTATAAACCAAAAGGATCTAACAGATATTTACAGGTTGCTTCACCCAAATACAAAAGAATATACATTCTCAGCAGCTCATGGAACTTTCTCCAAAATTGACCATATACTCGGGCACAAAGCAAGTCTCAACAGATACAAGAAAACTGAAATAACACATTGAATCCTATTTGACAACCATGGATTAAAACTGGATATCAACAACAGAAACAATAGAAAACTTACAAATGCATAGAAATGAAACAAATTGCTACTGAATGAAAAATATGTCAAGGCAGAAATTAAAAATGTCCTAGAATTGAATGAAAATGAAAATTCAAACATAAGTGCCTATATATATATATATATATAAAAAAATGGAGAGATCTCATATTAGTAACAGCATCTCAGAAGGCTCAAGAAAAAAAAGAAGCCATAACACCACAAAGGAGTAAATGGCAAGAAATAATCTAACTCAGAGGTGAAATCAATAAAATAGAAACAGACAATACAAAGAATCAATGAAACAAATGTTTGGTTCTTTGAGAAAATTAGTAAGACTGACAAACTTGTAGCCTAATTAGCTAAAAGGTGGCGAGAGAAGATCCAAATTTACAAAATTAGAGATGAAAAGGAGGACACAACAGACACTGAGGAAATTCAGAAAATCGTTAAGGGCATACTTTAAAAACTAGTACTCCACCAAATTGGAAATTCTAAAAGAATACTTTACTTTTTTTTTTTTTTTTTTTTTTTTGGTTTTTTGGGAAAGGGTTTTTTTTTTTTGTTTTTCGAAACAGGGTTTTTCTTGGGCTTTGGAGGCGGTCCTGGAACTAGCTCTATGTAGCCCGGGCTGTTCTCGAACTTACAGAGATCCGCCTGCCTCTGCCTCCTGAGTGCTGGGATTAAAGGCGTGCGCCACCACTGCCCGGAGATACTTTACTTGATATATACCATCTATCAAATGTATTGAGAGATTCAACTCAAGCCATTGCATCTGGCTTGAATTCCTGAATGCCAGCACCTGGGCTTCGAAATACCTTTTGGTTAAAATCAGTGATTGTTACCTTTTGTTTAAGGTTAGGGATTATTACCTGGGTTGCTCTTTTGAAGGAATTGCAGAGCCTTTGCATAATTTAGTCTTGAGACTACCTGGTAAACCAGGAGGTCTCAAGGCTGAGAACTGCTTAGGCAAATGATTCCTTCAAACTCCAGAAAAGAGGTTTTGGTATGCAGAAACTGACTTGCAAAAGGTGTTTTTTGTGTAACAATATAAGGGGCTTTTATGAAGCCACCAGTGAGTCACTTCCAGAAGCTGGCTTTCCAGCTGCTGTTGCTAAACCTGAATTACATTTTGGAGTAACCCTCTGATCCATGTAACACAGTAACAAAAAGCAAGCTAATACAACCCAGAAGGGTCAGGCTGAACTGTGCTCCGCAGCAGTTACTTTGTTGTTACCTTGTGAAATTCCTGAGAGAAATGAGGAAGGATTCTGTTTTTCATGGTTTCTGAGGTTATCAGCCCACCTTGACAAATAGGATGTAAAATGGCTTTGTTATGGTGGATGGGAAGCAAAGAAAACGGCAGCCAGGGGTGCAGACCTGATACAGACCCTAAGGACATGTGCCCAGTGTGAGCCTGACCTGGGTGGTTTCAGAAAGGATCAACGAGAATGAGCAAGTCATCTGAACGCAGGCAGTGTCTGCTCAGGAGCCGGGTGCATGGGCGCAATAGGGAGGAAATGGAGAAAGCCAGGCACAGCATGCTGCTCTCCCTGCAGTTTCCTGGTCAGCCGTGACAAGAACTGTTTTGCTGTGCCTCTGAAAGGAGGAGCAAAATGAACCTTTTCTCCGCTGGGAGTTTCTGCTGAGCATTGTGTATCAAGTTTCCTCTGAATCAGAACAGCTTATCCTGCAGGGTGTTTAGAAGGGAAGTGCTGACAAGCTGCTAAAACCCAGGAAATAAACAACACAAACAAGCTCAAGTATGATGGAGAGTGGTGGTGCATGTCTTCAGTTCCAGCACTCAGGAGCCAGAGGCAGGTGGATCTGTATGAGTTCAAGACCATCTGGTCTACACAGGAAAGCTCCAGGCCAGTCACCTTTACGAAGCAAGGAAAAAACAAAACAAAACAAAACAAAAAACCCAACCCAGGAAGTCCCTCAACTGACCAGGCGAACTAGGTCCCTCCTCCCCACACTTACAAGAAATAAGAACTGCTGAGAGACCCTCAGACAAGCAGAGCTACTTTTAAAGGAGGCAGAGACCTGTGGGTTTGCCTGGAAGAGCCCCCTCTGATCTGTTGAGCTGCTTGCAGGCTGTGTGGTGAGCTCCAGCTTTCCACTCCTGGGGGAGATTTTGGTGATGCTGTCTTTGAGTCATTTCTGCTTCTGAAAGCAGCCCAGCAGCTGTCCTCCCATGAGTAACACTAATCAATTTACTGGTTCACATAGTTGGGCCTCGATGCCATTCTTAGAGAGTAGGTGTTTGTTCACATTTCCCCAGATCATGCAACTGAAGGGACCAGCTCCCCATTTTGGCAGCCATAACAGCCGAACACGTGCTTGTCTGACCTTGCCTTGGTCGTTAGGAGGTCAAATGCCTGCCTTGTGGCAAGTAACCAATCAGAAGTTAGCTGGTGGTGCTATGCTTTACGGCTATGGGTGTGCTTTATGGACAAGCACACAGCAATGAGTCTCAGAGCATAGCAACCATCCTGGGAAGGTCTATGGGCCATAACAACCAGTTGACCAATCAACACAGGGCAAACCCTCCAAGCCTGGAGGCACACCAATCCTGAGCCTGTGCATACCCCTAGACACTCCCCTTACGCTGCCCTATAAGATCTCTATGCAGAAGCTTCTAGCTGTCTTTCCTAGCCACCCGCCATGGTGGGTGGATGAAAGATCTGAGCTAACATGGGGTTAGCTCATTAAACAACTATAATAAAGCCTCGTGCAGTTTGCATCAAGCTTTCGACTCCGCCTGGTGATTGGAGTGACTGCGGTCCTGGGCTGAGATCTTGGAGGCCTGAGCTTCCAGGGGTCTTTCACAACATTTGATATTGTGGTCACAGTGACCTGATAGTAGTAACTAATACATGCAACAACCTACTTCTTCCAGCTAGCCCCCAAATGAAGTTTCCAGAATGTCCCAGAGGTAGTGCCACCAGCTGGGGACCAAGGCTTCAATGGTGACCCTTAGGAGACACCTCATATCCAAGCGTAACACACACTCAGCTTTCTGAGAAGTTCAGACTCCATAGTTCTTAGATATTTCCACTCAACCAGGCTGGCTGCAAATGTCCTAGACTCCTTACCCTTAGACAAGTATTCTAAGGGATATTTGAATTTTCCAGAAAGACTTACAGTAGACTCATTCACTACAGAAGTAACCATATTCTCCCACCCCATCCTGATTTGCATTTGACTCTGTCTCAGGGTCTACTTCTGGGGAATGCAGACTAAGGGTGAAACCGAGAACCTTGTCCAGAAAACCTCAGCTGCTAGGAGAGATTTCCACCAGGCAGGGCCAAGAGCCCTGGGTAACTTACAACATCAGTAGGATGGCTGGAATGATCAGGCCTGGATTGGCAAGGAATGCAAAGATCTTGCCCAGGAACTTAGGAAAATCATTTTCAATGGTCTCGTGGAGTACATCATACATTCTATTTTTCCCACTAGAAAGAGAAGACACGTTAAAGCATATGCCACGCTCCTGTGGGACACACAGTCACGTCCATGACCCCATGGCTCCAAAGCTGCTACTCACTACTGCTTTTCTGAGAGAACTAGAGCTCTGCTCCAACTGGACTAAGAAAGACGGTCCCACGAGGAGCTGCCACTCCCGTTAGGACAGACAGCTGGGGCTGGCTGCATTGTGCTCACTAGCTTCCTGCCCTCGGTAACTCACACACTCTCAAACTGCAATGCTCTTCTGTGTTTGACACCTTCTTCAGCAGGAAAAAAAGGGGATTTTCCCCCACATTTTTTTTTCTCTTTTAGGAGATAAGCTCTTGCTGTGCTCCTGGTCTATTCCTGAACTCCTAGGCTGGAGGGATGCTTCTACCTCAGTCCCAAGTAGCTGGCACCATACACATATGTGTTTGTCCTAGGAGAAAATGGTCCATGGCTTAGTTATCAGGCAAACATGGATGTTTCTGGGCTCCTTGAGCTGGAAGCAGTTCTCTTAAGATTAAGGTGGTTGACATGCCACCATATCTCTAAAACACTCCTACAGTTAATCTTCTAGCCAGGAAACTGGATTGCTCCAAGATGGGCTTCTTTCTGTACTATTTACAATAGGAGGTTCATTTTTAATTCTAATTCTTTAGAATTAGATTGACTCAAAAAAAAAAAAAACCAAAAAAAACCAAAACCAAACCAAAACAAAACAAAACACTCTCCAGGGACACCTTAATACTTGTGGCTCTTGAATGGTAATTTTGGTGCTATGAAGTAGACTTAGGAGTTTGAAGATTCTGGTTCAAACCCTTTATTCTATGGAACACCATGAGCTATTTATCATCTATTCATCTCTCTCTCTCTCTCTCTCTCTCTCTCTCTCTCTCTCTCTCTTTCTCTCTCTCTCATTAATCTATCATCTATCAACCATCTATCTACCTATCTATCATCTGTTAATCATCTGTCTGTCTGTCTGTCTACCTGTCTGTCTGTCTATCATCTATCTTCTTTTCCTGTGATTGATATGTACATGTGTGCATGTGTGTGCCCATGCGTGTGGAGGTCTAAGGTTGATGGCAGGAGTCTTTCTCAATTGTTCTTGTTCCAGACAGGGTCTTTCAAACCCAGAGTTAGTCAACATGGCTAGTCTATCTAGCCAGCTTTCTCAGGGAGTCTTCTGGATCTGTCTTCAGAGGCTGGGATTGAAGGGGGAAGCCACACCTACCCAGCCTTTATGTGGGTTCTGGGGCCCTGGCTTGTGCAGCAAGTACTCTGATGAATGAGGCATCTTTCCTTTCTGTTTGTGACTGTACTTATATCTTAGTTCTTTCCACTAGAGTTGTACCATCAAATATCACTACTAAAATAATTATAAAAATTGATTAACCAGGCGTTGGTGGCACATGCCTTTAATCCCAGCACTTGGGAGGCAGAGGCAGGCGGATCTCTGTGAGCTGTAGGCCAGCCTGGTCTACAGAGCGAGTTCCAGGACATCCCCCAAAGCAATACAGAGAAACCCTGTCTCAAAAGACCAAAACAAGTGCAATTTTGAAATCCTGTTTTTTTAGATAAATATTTAAGTGTTTGTCTACAGTCCTGTGATGATGAAGACTGCATTAGAGTAGGTGCAGTGTGCTCTCATCATCACAGGGTTTTTTATTGCATGTGCTGAGCTTTCATCTCTGGAGAAGCTCCTGAACAGTTCTTTGCTCTAATTTCTACTTCTCTCTATAGGCAATGGGGTGCAAAGCTCACACCGTTAGAGGGTTCTGACTGAAGTCAGCAGGTGCTGAGGAAAGCACCCTTAAACTGTGTCATACAATGTTGCAGTCAGCAGCTTAGTTTTCTCTGTGCAAACATCAGATTGACATATAATGCCTCAGGGACAAATCAGCTTGTCACCTGCAAGCTAAAATAGTTTCCCTTCTTTCTTTTTTCTTTTTACATTTTTAAGCGGTTTAAAAAAAACAAGTATAATTTCTTGTGACATATAAAAACTGAAGCATGATTTTTTTTTTACATTTCAATGTCTATAAACTTTTGCTGGAACATAGCCATGCTCATTCTTTGTACATGGCTAAGCTTTAATGGCATTACATCATACGCAGTATACTGGTATATATTATCCTGTAATGTCAGGGCTGAGCAATTGCATCAGAGACCATGTGTGTCTATTTTATTGCTTGGCACTATTGTGTTACATGCCAGTAGTCCCAGCATCTGAGAAACTGAGGCAGGAGGATTGTGCAAAAAAACAAAAACAAAAACAATCTACAACATTTTAGTTATGACAACATTTCAGGTGCCAAGCACATCACCATGCCATGCCATTTGATTTATTTTTTATTATTAGGACATACCTATCATGTAAAAATAGGAGAGAGAGAGAGAGAGAGAGAGAGAGAGAGAGAGAGAGAGAGAGAGAGAGAGAGAACCTCAAATACTATGGTTTTAAGTCGAAGTTCAACGTGAATTATTTTGTCTCTGAAGTGTCAGTGTGGTAGCTGCTATGACAATTAGTACACCTATGGATTAGCACACTATACATGGGCTGTGTTACAGCTCTGGAGGCTGGAAGTTTGAAATGGTTTCACTGGGTTAAACTAAGCTGTTGGCAGGGCCACAGTCCTCTGAGGGAGGCCCCAGAGGAGTGCATGCCTTGGGTCCCTTGGCTCAAGTCCCCTTTTTCATCTTAAAAGCCAGCATCATGGATTTTTTCAAAACTTTCTCTGCTTTCACAGTCACTCTGCTCTCTGTTCTTATTTGATGGAGTTTCCCGCTGGTGTACTAACATCTTTGGCTGCTGTCATTCATGGTAGAAATTAAGGTGTGAACAGATGTGTGAAGAAGAGGTGAAAACAGGGACAGGCTTGCTCTTTAACAAATTGCTCTTACATTAACTAATCCAGTTCCACGAGTGAGAACTCGCTCACAACTGTGATTGTTAGACCAATTTCATGAGAGAATGGCACTACTACCATTTAATTGATCAATCACGTTCTAAAGTCTAGGCTTCTTCAAACTGACATAATGTCAGACAGATTTCAGCATTAGTTTCAGAGGCAATGATTCATACTCAAACCTTAGTAACTTGCAAACTTTAAAATATCCATGATCAGGTACCTTACAGGCAAAGTTAACCAATGCTTAGTATATATAGTGCCTTCCACCTGATGGTGGCGCTGTTAGCATAAATAAGTACCTCATTCAGTGACTGTCACAGACTAAGCTTTCAGAATATCTTGGCTACCTCCATCACATCACTACCTCTGTCTTTACTGGCAAGTGCATGGTCATCTGGGAGTTATCGGGGTCCTTGGCGCCTTTCTTCCTTCTTGTTTTCCTCCTTCTAGCCAATTGCAAAGACTGCTGGTGTAATTTCAACAAATCCAGAGAGAGAAGGGAGAGTAAATCGAAGTTGTCCTGTCTCCCTTACAAGAAAAAAAAAAAAAAAAAAGACATAAAAGACCTGAGCTGCAAACACAGACAATGACTTAGGGATCCATGGGCAGCTCTTCTTTCCTGTGACAGACACTGAAGTCCTTTCTCAGATTCCATGTGCTATAGGATGGTTTGTTCTCTTCTCTCAAGGATGAGTGAAGAAATTGAGATATACATGAATGTACCACGTTGTTATTAATATAAAAATGAGTAGCATGCCTCGGAATCCTGAATATCATACATTGATCTAAATCTGCAGCAGATGTCTGAAGTCTGGGTTCTCTTGCCACAGCGAAAGCCTGAGCCCATAATCAAACTACCTTCCCCCTTACTGTGTGCCTGACTTGCATGCCTAGATACATGCACACTGAATAGCTATAGGCAGCTTTGTGGGAGCAGATCAAATGCTGGCCAACGTGCAGTCCACGTCCACAGACTTGTTCTGTTTTTGTGGGTTGATGTAGAAGTTTGTTTGTTTGTTTTTTTGTTTGTTTTTTGGTTTAAACATTTGAATGAATTTTTAAGTGAAAGTGGTAGATGATTTCAAACAAATGTTCAGATTTTTATGAGGCTCTGAAAGCCTTCATGGAGACAGCTGGTTGTCCTCAACTTGGACAGAGCAACAGGTTCACAGATATCCATACTAAAGACCAACATGGTCCTCTAAGTACTTCACAAATAACAACACATTATTCTCAAAGCAGCCCTACTGGCTAAACTTTCTCTCTTTTAGGAAATGAACCCATGCAGAGCTCAAAACTACCCAGCCTCTCAGCAAGAGAGTTCGCTCTTAGATCTGCCATCTAAACCAGGTGATTTTTCTGCACAGACCAAAATGATTCCATTAGCTGTGTAGGTAGGATTGTTTCCACTTCAACTACTCAGTCCTACTGCTGTGATGAAGTACCCATGGAGACTATGTAAGCACATTGATATGGCTGTGTTCCAATAAAACTTTATTTATAAAACCAGATCGTGTTCTGGATTTGTTCCAAAGGGCATACAGCTCATCAACTTCCATTTGTGATTATGTGCTATGGGACACTAATCATCTCAATCATTTATGTTGCCTGCCAGGCCCCTGTAGGCATTTAGTGTGGTCTGAACCCTAACTAACTTCTTCCCTGTGCAACTGAACTTCTGTGAGGTAGTAGTCTATTTGGAACATCAACCATAAGGCAGTTGTAATTTCTGTGAGGTAGCAGTGTTCTTGGAACATCAACCATAAGGCAGTTGTTTTCTTTCAGATGCTGAGCATAATGCAGTGAAAAAGGAAGAAAACACCATCTTCTCCAGGATCTTCTGTCCCATGGGAGAACGAAATAAATAAAATGAACAAGGAAAAGGCTCAACATGTTTTTTTCTGTTTTTGAAATAGACTTTGATTCGAACTCATGCTTCTCCTGCCTTAGTCTTCTGAGTGATTGGTTATAGGCAGTGGTCACCATGTCCAGCAAGGAACACACGATTTGTTTAAGGGTCAAAAGGAGATAAACAGAAACAGGGTGTGTGTGTGTGTGTGTGTGTGTGTGTGTGTGTGTGAGAGAGAGAGAGAGAGAGAGAGAGAGAGAGGGAGAGAGATGTGATATGTGTGTGTGTGTGTGTGTGTGTGTGTGTGTGTGTGTGTGTGTCTGGTGTGATTTGTGTGCTGTGTGGTGTGTGATGTGTGTATGGTGTGTGATATGTGATGTGTGTGCTGTGTGGTGTATATGTGTGCTTGCATTCACACGTGCCTGCATTTCAGTTGGGAACTCTAGCAAAAGCTCCACTGAGAAGCTGGCCTTTGCCAGCTCGGCTTTGTGGAGGTTGTAACCATGCTTCTTCCTTGAGTTAGATCTCTTTTCCTATGATCTGATATAGGTTGCCATTATCACCCAGGAAAGCAGATGGGGCAAAAGGGACACAAATGTCAAGAAACAGGCATGCCACAGGCTAAGGAGCCATCTTTCCTGGGTACAGGTGGGCAGTCTGAGGAAATGGTGGCAACGCCTGCACCCGGGCTTGCTTAAGAAAAAACTGAGTCTTCTTTGACATGGTTGTTCCCTCACTCTGGCATCTCTAGTCTCCTGCAGCCTTCCATCCTGACTGCTACCTTCTCTGTTCTGCACAGACTCCTGTGTGACCAGATTGTGCTTGATAGCAGACTCCATTGAATACCTCCTCTAGGTTCTACCAACTCCAGGCCTCTTAACTGAAAAGGAGACAACCAGCTTCCCACACAGCACACTTCACACTGGCATGCCGGGCTGGCTCTGGAGTGGGTGACAACACAGCTGGATGAGAGCCTTGCTTTCTGGATCATGCAAGGCTATGCATGGCCCCTCTCACTTGCCTTACCCCAATTCTTGTCTGGGATAGGTATTCAACAAAGATGGGAACACTAGTTTCTTCATATTAACATATTCTCCAAGAGGCCACAGAGAATTTCTAAGTGAGAAGACACTTGGTAAAAGGTTGCCGTGCGCCTAACACCTTTAGTCCCAGACCTATTTTTTCAGGAACTAGAGGGATTTGTTTTCAGTGGGTCACATATTTATAAAGACAACAGGAGGTATACATTATTGTTCAATCTATCTCCTTATATAACTATATCCAATTGCCCAATAACTTTTATTTATAACCAACCTTCAGTGCTACCAGTGTCCTCTAGAGTATGGGGACCCAGTTGAGAGTCTTGGTCAAGACCAACTATGCCTGTTTCATACCTTGATGGAGTTAGAATACCCGGCATCACTCTTCTTTTGCTAAGATAACCACAGGTGCCAGATTATCTACTATTAAAAGGTTATACTTATACCATCTAATATGGTAGTCAGCCACTTGTGGTTATTAAAATCAAAATTAATTACAATGAAAAAATAAGAAATTTGGTTTCCCAGCTCTTCATTTCAAGCACCCAGTAGCCACAAGTAGCTGCCTGCTACCCCATGGGGCATCTCCATCCTTACAGAAAACTTGCTGAATAGTTTCGATGGTTTGCCCCAACTTCCATAGCCTCTCACAAGCTGGCATGAAACCAGAACTGGAATTCCAAGCCAGGACCTGTGTGCAGACTGCCTCAGGAGGAAAACTCTCCCCAGCAACAAAGATTGCACCTGAAGGGGCCACAGTCAAACGAGGGTGGGAGGGACATGACGGTGTAGGCCACTGGCAGGAGGCTGAGGAAAAGCACCAGCAGCAGCAGACCCATGTAGAAGTTGTTGGACCTGGAGGCTTTAAACACACGCTCGTGGGGCACGTTGCTGCTCATCACTGCCCAGCACTGGAAGTACATGGAGGTCAACAGGCGCAGGACATTGATGCCTACCAGTCCTGGAGCGTAGAAGGAGCCCATCCTGAAACGTCAGAAATGGGACATCTGGTTGACCCGGTAGCAGGAAGGTGAGGGAAGGCTAATAGAGCGTAATGTGGTGGGTGGATTAGGGGCATGCAGTCAAGGCACTTTCCTGAAGAATCCAAGAGCAGAGGCCTTTGGTTTAACCAAGGTACTTGTCATCATACCAGAGCCACCTCTCCTTCAAGAGAGGGAGATAACTCTGAGAACTACTGGCTGGGACCCTGGCCAGGATTTACTACTGCTTTTCTAGCAGGCATCAACAGATCACAATCTCTGGCCTCCATGAGCATCCCTACAGGCAGACAGTAGCTTGTAGACAGTCCTTTGCACCTTCAAAGACTTAGGCTGACGGCTGATGTCATGCAGCCTCCAAAGGAGAAAGTTCCTTCCTTCACTCACCACTGTCCTCTTCTCCCTGTCCCATCTTTCTCATTTCTTTTTCCTTTCCCCTTTCTTCTCCTCCTTTCTTGTTTCTTTGCTTTGTTCTTTCTTCCTTCTCTCCCTATTCCTACTCTCTCTGGAGCACACTGGTTAGCTATACACTGTCCCGTTTCCCACCCTGCTCTACTCTCTAGCTCTTACCAGAACCCGAGCTGAGAGAGCTGAGGTGATTTGCTGTCCCCAACCCTAGTTTTTGACTCCCCAAATTACATGCTCCTCAGGTGAAATAGACAACTCACCAGATCATTCCTTGGTTGAAGATCAAACCCAGCACGTTTCCACTAATATCAAATTCGGCATATGAGGGCTGGAGGGAGAGGAAGGGGAAGAGGGAGAGAGGAGCTAGTGAGAAAGCAAACGTTAGGAGATTCCAGCTAGATCCTATCCAGGTCAAGACAACTCAACCCGAAACGCCTGCCTTGGGTTCAGGATTCTGATTTCTGTTGTTTTGTTCATTTTTGACAGTCTCTCTGTATAGCTCAGGCTGGATTCAAATTTATGATAATCCTTACACCTTAACTTCTGGAGCTCCAAGATTAAAGTATCATACCTGGTAGTAGGATTGTTCCTTTAATAGGCTTTTGATGTGTATGTATGTATGCATGCTATTATGCATGTATGCATATATGTATGTGTGCACTCATGTATGTATTTTGAGATAGGGTTCATGTAGCCCAGGTTATATTCTTGTTACATAGCTAGAACTTCTGATTCTCTTGCTTGCCCCTCACACCTGGGATTACAGGTGTGAGCTACCATACTTGGTTTATGTGGTGCTGGGGATTGAACCCAGGGCCTCTGGCACACTAGGCAAGTATTCTACCAACTGGACTGTCTCCCCATCCTTGTTTTCAACTTTCAAAGACAAGTTTTGAAGTTTTTCATTAATTAATTAATTAATTAATTTGTATTTTATGCGTATGCGTGTTTTGTTTGAACCTGTGCACCATACATGTGTAGTGCCTCCAGCAGCCAGAAGAGGGCACCAGATCTTCTGGAACTAATGTGTCGGACACTGTTCGCTGCTGTGTGGGTGCTGAACTGAACCCAGGTCCTCTGCAAAAGCAACAGGGCTCTTAACCGCTAAGCCATCTCATCAGTCCCCAAAGTTCTGAAGTTATTAAAACCGAAGCTTTTCAACAACAACAACAAATTATAATTGTATCTACCTCTTCAGGCGGTAGCCGACCCTTTGATTTGGAGAGGACTTTAGCGCTTAAGAAAGCATTTCATTAATGTTCTAATCAGAAATTTACTTCCAATTATAATCAGGGAAGAAGGCAAATGAAATTAGTGAAATGCAAATCATGAATTAAGACACAGCATGAGAAGCTGGCTTGAAAACAAGCACGCATTCCCTGTCCTTCCAGGCACAACTTCCTGTCCTCCAATCTGACAATAGGTCAGATTTGGGGCTGATTATTTTGTAGCTTGGGTTCTCGACAGGAATCTGAAAGGACGCAGAGCTTGTGAGTCCTCACAATGTACTCAGGCCTCCTTCTGGTTTGTCTCCGGAAGTGGAGAAAATGACAGGGGGTGTGAGAGGAGCCAGAGAGATGACAGGAGGGAGAGGGTGGCAAGAAGCATGGAGCAAAGGAGCAAAGACACACGAGTTAAACGCGTGAGGGACGTATTTCAAGAACTCAAAATTTAACTAATATTACAAAAACAGGCCCGGAGAGATGACACAGCAGCAAAGAGCACTTACAGCTCTTGCAGAGGATCCGTGTTCAGTTCCCAGCACCTGCTTTAGGCGCCTCACAAGAACATGTAACCCCAGTTCCAGGAGGGGTCCAATGCCCCCTGGCCTCTGGGGGAATTGCAAGCAATTGGTGCACATACATTCACACAAGTGCATGTACATATACATAAAATCAATCAATCAATAAATCTTCAAAAAACAAAAGCCCCAAATTAAAACAACAACAACAAACAACCTTATCTACTGGTTTTTGTGTTCTGCTCAAAAAATATTTCTTACTTCCAAGATTGTAAATGTATATGTGACTTTTAAAATAAAACTTTGGGGGCTGGAGAGATGGCTCAGTGGTTAAGAGCAGTGACTGTTCTTCCAGAGGTCCTGAGTTCAATTCCCGGCAACCATATGGTGGCTCACAACACCTTGAATGAGATCTAGTGCCTTCTGTTGGCATGCAGGCAGACAGCTGTATACATAATAAATAAATAAATAAATAAATAAATAAAATCTTAAAAAATAAAATAAAATTTTGATTTATGTTTCTATATTCTTTCTAGGTCTTGTGATACATGCCTGTAACCCCAGCACTATGGAGGCTGAGGCAGGAGGATTGCTGTATGTTTGGGAATATCTTGGGCTACATCATGAGTACCAGACCAGCTAGAGATATATAGAAAGACCTGTCTCAAAGCAAAACAAAGAGAACCCTAAACCTACTCCCCTAAAAACTTTAATTCACCTATAATTAATTTATGTAGGTAAAGTAAGTGAGGGATATTGTCCTCTCCTCATCCACAGCTCAGTTTTAAAAACAGTTGTTTTCTTTATATCGGTTTGGTTTAGTTTTTCCAGATAGGGTTTCTCTGTATAGCCATAGCTGCCCTAGAACTCACTCTGTAGACCAGGTAACAGTTTAAAATTTTATTTAGAGCTGGAGAGATGGCTCAGAGGTTAAGAGCACTGGCTGCTCTTCCAGAGGACCTGAGTTTAATTCCCAGCAACTACATGATGGCTCACAATTATCTCTAAGGGGATCTGGGGCCCTCTTCTGGCATGCAGGCATACATGCTAGCAGAACACTGTATGCACAGTAAATAAATATATTTTTAAAGTTATTTATTTATTTATTTATTTATTTATATTCCCTGCATGTATGTCTATGCACCACATGTGTGTCTGGTGCCCTCAGAGGCCAGAAGTGGGTGTTGAATCCCCAGGGACTAGAGTTACAGATAATTGTGAGTTACCTTGTGGATTCTGGGATTGAACCCAGGTACTCTGGAAGAGCAACTTGTACTCTTAACCAGTGAGCCTTCTCTCCAGCCCCTACAGCTCAGTTTTATATATTGCTTTTCTTCCTTACTGATTTGAATCAGATTCTTTATTATAAACAGTTTTCCCCTGACTAATATCAGTGTCTAGGCTTTGTATTTTGTTCTATGGACAAGCCTGGTCACTCCAGTTTTCATTTAGTTATTACAACGTCATCATACTTTTCCTTTTTGGAATAGAGTCTCACTATGTAACGAGGCTCGTTCCACACTCCTGATCCTATTGCTTTTTGTGTGTGTGTGTGAGTTGTGATATTTGCGTGTGTGTGTGTGTGTGTGTGTGTGTGTGTGTGTGTGTGTGTGTGTGTGCAAATTTGTACCTGTGTCTATGCATATTTATCACTCTCTGCTTCACTCCTTTGAGACAATGGCTTTTGCCAAGCCTGAAGCTAGGCTGGCAGCCAGCAAGCCCCAGTGATCCACAGTGCTGGGATTACACTGGCCCTGTGTGGTTTTCTACATGGCTGCTAGAGTCTGACCTCAGGTCCTTATGCTTGTGCAACAAGCGCTCTTACCCACTGAACCATATCTCCAACTGCCAAGCCTGACTTCTTAATATACTTTAGTAGAGTGGCAGGCATAGCCCCTTTATTCTTTCTAAAGGGTTTTCCTATACGTCTCATACACTTATTTCTGAGTGGATTTTATTATAACTTTGCAATCTTATAGAATTTAGAATTTACTTTGAAGACAGCAATACTGTGCCCTCCTGTCAAAGATGACACCATCTCTGAGCACAGCATCCTTTCACCATTGTTCTCAGGCCCGGGCATAGGTTTTGTTGGTGCTGAGGAGGGTTCACCATGCCACAGGCTGGGGTGAGGGCTACTACGTGGGTAACAAAGATAAGGAGTCTTTTGGCAGAAGCTTGGTTAGGGAGACTTCCTTTCCCAACACAACTGATGAGTAGAACAATGAGGTGTTGTGGAAGAGAATTGCACTGGGCCAGCAAGTGGGCCTGAGGTTCTGGCAATTCATAGAAAGTTACATGGTGAGAAAATGGCATATGCTTGGGACGAGCATTTTACCAAGTAGGTGGGGAAGTGGGTCTCTCAGGGGAGGGGTGTTAAGAGTCAAAGGGGCTTCTCAAAGCATAACCAGAAGATAGGGAAAGGGCACCAGGTTCTTGGTTGTTCTAGGATTTCTAAAATGCTTATGCACCCTAAGGTTCAGCCTTCCTCATGAGAGGTCATTTAGCTACTTCACCAGTGTGTCTGCTTGGCATTGAAGAATGTGGTCCCTGTCCCCCAAAGCTAAATGCTTCCATTCAAAAAAAATTTAAACCCCCTTTTTATTTTGGTGTTTTATTTTTTAAGGATTTATTTATTTATTTATTTATTTATTTATTTATTATGTATACAACATTCTGCTTCCATGTATATCTGCACACCAGAAGAGGGCACCAGATCTCATAACAGATGGTTGTGAGCCACCACATGGTTGCTGGGAATTGAACTCAGGACCTCTGGAGGAGCAGTCAGTGCTCTTAACCTCTGAGCCATTTCTCCAGCCCTATTTTGGTGCTTTATGTATTTTGTGTTTTGCCTGCATGTATGTCTGTGTAGCACACAAGTGCCTGATGCCCATGGAGGCTGGAAGAGTGTCAGATCCCCTGGAACTGGAGTTACAGAGACTTGTGAGCTGCCAAGTGGGTGCTATGAATAGAACCCAGGTCCTCTGGAAGAGCAGCCAGTGCTCTTGACTGAGCCATCCCATAAGTCCCCATGCCTCGACTCCTAGATGAAGGTCACAATGGGAAAAGGTGGAGTTGCTTCTGTGAATGCAAAAGGGTCTCTCAGTAATTATGACTGAACACATTGCCTCACAGAACACAGAAATGGAATGGACAGGAGTGCAGCTGAGTACAAATGTCAGAGAGGGTGTTGACCAGAGCTTACTGCAGAATATATGAAAAAACAGCTTACGAAGCCAGCCTCCAGGTCCCAGCACCAGCAGTGATTCATGAAGCGGACAAAACAAGCTCGGAGGAAATCCCCCACCAAGATGGTGAGGTATGTTACCAGCATGTCAGACACTGTCAGCCTCATAAACTCCTGCAGGGAGGAACATGGGAAAATAGGAGTGGCTCAATGTGAACTTGTTCACTTCTATCAAATGATCATAGCCATAAGACACTATCTCTCACTCACCTGACTGTCAGCGTGGCCTGGTTCTCCTGGCAGTCATGGGACAGAAGAAGGACTTCAGACTTTAGAGAAAGCTTAATTCAAGCTTTGGCTCTATAAATTGCTAATTATTTAAACAACTGCGGAATAATATCCAAGCCTCTAGGAGTCAGGAATATCATGCTTGCTGAGTTATTGAGAAGCCTATCAGTCATGTATGCAAATTTCCTGGGTTATTAGCAATGACCAGTGCTCCATACCATTGCTAGATCTGAAGGCTCACTCTTTGCTTTCCCCATCTGCTCTGACATCCTGGTTGACCCCACTAGGATTTAATGTATAAGGATTTAATAAGGATAACTTCTTATTAATCAAATATTTTCCTGGTATACAGAGAAGGTAACTAAGGGGCTGGAGAGATGGCTCAGTGGTTAAGAGCACTGGCTGCTCTTCCAGAGGTCCTGAGTTCAATTCCCAGCAACCACATGGTGGCTCACAATCACATACCAGAATCAAAAGAACAGAGCTTTCTCCACTTACACAGGGTAACACAGAATATATATAACTGTTTTTTTTTTTAATTGGAAAGATCTGCCAGAACTCTGTTATATAGCAGTTTCCTAGGAGATGGAAACAGTCCATCCTACAGGGAAGCTCCTTAAACAGGAAGGTAAATAACTCAAAATGTCCTCAGGAAGTCCCTGAAACTGACCACATTCACTAGGCTCCTCCCTCCAGCAGTAATAAAGACTGCTGAGAGTCACTCTCAAAGGGGCTGAGCTGCAAAGAAGACCTCAAGACCAGCTGCTGCGCAGAGGAGGCTTAGACCAGCTAAGGCACCTGGAAGGATACTGTTCAACTTGTTGAGCTGCTGGCAGTCTGTGCAGTGTGCTCAGGCTCCCAGCTTTTGTGAGCTGTCACCCGTGCTGGTATGAGCTTTGGTGATGCAGCTGTCTTTGAGTCATTTCTGCTCCTGTAAGTAACCCTCACTCACATTTCTTGCAACTAAACCTCAAAAAAAATCATTGGTTGGACTTTGGTGGTGGCTGTACTTTGGTCTGACCTGAGCTCCCTATCTGGGGTGAGGAGATGTGTGTGTTGTTATTACACAACAACTTCATCACAACTTTAAAGACAGCAGGTAGATGTGAAGTTCCAGGATGTACAGGGTCTGCTCTGTTCATCTTGGACCTTCCAAGATTAAGAAATGCCTCCTTGACCCCTTTGGCTCCTACAATCCTTCCTGCCCCTCTTCTGTAGGATCCCCCGAGTACCAACTAATGTTTGGTCTGCATCTGTTTCCATCAGTTGCTGGATGAAGCCTCTTTGATGACTACTGGGACCAATCTATGAGTAGAGGGGAGGTGGGGGGGGAAGGGACAGGGGAGGAGGGAGGGGAAACTGTAGCTGGGATGTAAAATATATAAATAAATAGATAAAAACACTAAAAATAAGCCGGGCATTGATGGCATATGCCTTTAATCCCAGCACTTGGGAGGCAGAGGCAGGTGGATCTCTGTGAGTTCGAGGACAGCCTGGTCTACAGAGCGAGTGCCAGGATAGGCTCCAAAGCTACACAGAGAAACCCTGTCTTGAAAAACAAAAAAACAAACAAACAAAAAACCAAAAAAAAAACCCCACCAAAAATAATGCCTGCTTTATGGGCATATGAATTATCAGGGCTGTTTCCAATATGGAAAGATCAGAGAAGGAACAACAAAGAACTGAGAGCAAGAGTCACCTTTTTCAGAGAGCTTAACTACTCACAATGCCCACGGCTGTCTCCCAGCAAGAACCCCTGGGCACATCCGCAGGGTGTGGTGGTGGCCGGGGCACACTTTCATTCCCACCTGAGGAGTTGTAATAGTTAAACAGGGTCCAGTGAGTGATGTTCTTGATTTTCTCCTCATTGGAAAGCTGGAAGAGAAATTGGTGATAGGAAGTTTGAAGGGGCCATGGGTAGTTCAGCTGCCTTACCACTGCACAATCTTTTCAGAAATGAACTTCTCAGGCTTTCAGTCCACTAACAGAGGGTGCAATGGGCTGAAGCCCTTGGATCTTTTTTTGTGAATTTTATTTCCTAAGTTAGCTAGCATCCATCAGTCCATCCACCCATCCATCCTGAAAATGGCTTATTCAGGGTCTAATCTGTACATACAAATGACTGGTGACACAAGAGTGACCAAAAAAGTTTTCTCTTAGGAAGTTCATAGTCTAGTAAGCAATAGAGACTACCAATTAGAAAATAAAGTGATTTGAGCTATGGAAATTTTTCTCTGGGAACCAAGGAGATAACAGAGATAACATCAGATAACAGAGAGCACAGAAGTCTCCTCAAGGCAGAGACATCTGGAACTAGTCAACTAGTCTCAGAGAAAGTAACTATACCCCAGAGTCAAATATAAGGCTCAGGAGGGTGGGGGCAGTTTCTTGGGGAACGAGGGAAGCCAGAGAGAGTAGAAGGACTATGAAGCAGCGCCATTCACTTGAACTATTAGAACCTTCCAAAAAGCTTCCATTACTTCAGGAAAGAGTTCCTGCAGGAGAAATGAGGCAGAGGAGTGAGGAAGACTCATTGGTCCCTCCGCTGTCTCCATCCTTTTCCTTCTCTCCATTCTCTAGACATCCTGCAGTTTCCTGTTGGCACCAGACGTTCCCTCCACCTTTTCCAGCATCTTCTGAGGCTCCCCAAGCCAAGGATTTGAATTCCTCCTGTGCTCTGACACGCTGCCTTGGACTTAGCCCACTGAATCATATTTCACAGCATATTGTATTGAATGAGCCTGCCTCCTGACCCTGAACATGAAGCCATTTGGAACAGGACTGTGTCTAGTTCCCTGCTGTATCCAAGGGCTTAACATGCATGTTCTATACATGTCTGATAAGCATTAATGAGCAGTTTGGCCAACTATGACAGATCAAATCAGTGGACAATTACTTGGTTATTTACTTGTTATGACAGCGGTGAAGCAACATGGAAAAACTTACATATAAAATATGAAGACTACTAAGTGATAGAGACATAATGTGGGAAAAACAACCTAAGAAAAAAGCAGGCAAGAACTGGAGCAATTGTTTGTAACTGTGGCTTTTGGATTATGAGTTCTAGAGATACCTCTTTTTAATAATCCTTCCTAAACTTCTGACATTTATTTAATTAATAGAAATGATATATAGTAAAAGTATTATATTTACAAAAGGGAATACAGTGGAGTGTGGGCTTTACCTTAAGGTGGACATCATCCATGAGGGCCAAGAGAAATGTGTAGAGGTTTCCCAGGAAAAGTGCAAAGATGCGTCCCAGCTGCCACTTCAGCCCAGTGCGAGGGTGGTAATTCTCCAGGGCAGCGATCGTTTCAAACAGAGGGGGACAGAACATTCCAAGCAGAGACATCACAATCTCCACCTGAAAAAATGGAAAGGAGGGGAGTTTTGAGATCAGATAAATGAATAAAGAAGTTAAAAATTTTAGGAAAACAAAAATTTTAGGTAGCTAAAGACTCAAGAAAGGCTACAAAACAATTTTTTAAAACCACAGTTTAGTAATTCACTCTTCAAATATAAGACAAAATATAATAAATAAAAATTCAAAATGTATACACTATCTAGCTGAGAATGTCACCCAGAATAACAAACACTATGATATATTCTAGTAAAGTTACTGAACTATAAGCAAAAATCCTCTTCCAGCAATAGGGAGATTTATAGGGAAAAGAAAATTAGAGCATCATCAGTCTTTAAAAAATAATTTTTTATAAACTTGAATGTTTTGCCTACATATGTGTATATATGTGTATCTATGCATGCCTTGTGCCTGCAGAGGACAGAAGAGGGTGTTGGGTCCCCTGAACTGGAGGTACAGATGGTTGTGAGCCATCATGAGGGTGCTGGGACTGAAACATGGGTCTTTTTCAAATTGCTGATAATCACTGAGTCATTTCTCCACCCTGCAATAGTTACTTGTTTGAGACATGGTCTTACTATGCATCCTGGCTGGCTGTCCTGGAACTCATTGTGTAGACTAGGCTGTCCTTAAATGTTCTGAGACCCTCATGTCTCTGCCTCCTGAGTTCTGGGATTAAACACGCCTGACTTAATTTTGCCCTTTAAAGCAAGACCTGTAATTCTGATTTTTAGGGACTGTGCTGAGTTGTCGGACTTATGCTAAGTGACAGCAGGGTGATTCCAACACTTCCCCCAATCTTGGCTTCATTGGAGATGGCCATCTTACCTCATTCCTTTCATACCAGCTGACATTTTGCATTTTGGAGAATTCCTGTGACCGCTTCACCACAAAGTAAATGAGGTACCCACTTCCACACAGACAGCAGAGAATGAGAAAGTTGGCCAGGACACGGAGAAATCTTGTCAGGTGGATATTTTCCTCTTTGTTACTCTCTTGTTCATCCACTATAGATTCCTTAGTGTGTGAAGATGAGAGGTGAACAACATCAGGTTATGAACCCAGCCACCCATGGTTTTGAATTCCTGAGAATACTTTTCTATATTTCAATAAAAGATACAGAGGAGGTGATGTGATACCCTGTAGAGAATGGGTTTGGTTATTTTGTAATAATGAAAGCTGAGATTTACTATGTGCTAGACATGGTACTAAATATTTTCCATGAATTATTTTTTTTCTTTTTGGCTTTGGATTTGTTTGTTTGTTTGTTTGTTTTTTGAGACAGAGTTTCTCTGTGTATCCCTGGCTATCCTGGAACTCTCTTTGTGGAGCAGTCTGGCCTCAAACACAGAGATCCACCTGCCTCAGCCTCCAGTGCTGGGATTAAAGACATGCGCCACCACCAGCCCTCATGAATTATTTCTTTTCTTTCTTTCTTTTTTTTAAAGATTTATTTATTTATTATGTATACAGTCTTCTGCTGTATACATAATACAGCAGAGGGCACCAGATCTCATTCAAGGTGGTAGTGAGCCACCATGTGGTTGCCAGGAATTGAACTCAGGACCTCTGAAAGAGCAGTCAGCGCTCTTAACCGCTGAGCCATCTCTCCAGCCCCATGAATTATTAATCTAACAGTGAACCAACAGAACAGTTAATACTATTGCTCACATTGTGTGTCTAAAGACCCACAGTGGTGTCAGTGAACTATGTAAGATTGTTATAAATCAATAGACCAAATACATTCAAATTTAAACATTAATTCATGTATTTTTTTACTAATTTTTTTATGTATTTTGGTTTTTTGCCTGTATGTATGTCTGTGTACAGCATGGGTTCCTGATGCCTGTGGAGGCCAGAAGAGGGTTTAGATTCCCCAGGAACTGGAGTCATAGACAGTTGTGTGTTGCCACGTGGATTCAGGGAATGGAACCCAGGTGCTCTGCAAGAGCAACCAGTGCTCTTATCTGCTGAGCCATCTCTGCAGCCCCTCAGATTAAAATTTTAATCTCAAATTTTCAAATACAAGAGTTGTCAAACATCCTACAAAATTCACATAGTAGATAGATAGCCTAAAATTCATGTCTCTCTCACTACTCACCACTGCCATCATTGCATGAAAATAACCATAGACAATATGTAAGTAAATGTGCATGGATTTGTCTCAATAAAGGTTTATTTATAAAAGTATGCAGCAGTCTGGATTTGGTCCCCATGATATATTTTGCCAATTCATGCTCTTAGGGCTTCTTAATATTGAGTGCTGGTTTTGTTGTTTGTTTGTTTGGTGTCTCAAATTTTTTTTGGTAGGGGGACTTTAACTTATTGATAGACATTTGTGTTTCAGGTATTATTATAAATGGGATTTTAAAATCAGTTTAATTGCTTTCTGTTAGTCTAAATTGCAGTTGATTTTTGTTTGCTCTGCTTGTGTCCTGCATGAGCAACTATGAAGATGTGTTCAGTAAGGAGCAGACTAGGACAGAAAACCTGGTCTCCTGCACAGAATGCTTGGGAAGAGCCCTCTCTGCCAATCTCTGGTTATGGTGTCCACTCAGGTTTAGCTAACTCATCAGGCAGTTTTGTTATGTTAGTTCACAGAATCCTCACATCTACCTTGCTATGTGCAGGAGGCACAAGGTCCTTGTGCTCACAGATAAGCACTAGGGAAACGAGGAATGTTACATACAGAGGGTTGTCTCTTCAAGGGGAGAGACATGCATAGCCTGTCTTCTGCTCAGAAGGCTGGGGATGGAGGTGGTTAATAGCCCGATGACCTTTGTGTTGTCTGTATGACCAAGACCACACCAGATCCTCCCCTAGACCCTTAGGATGTCACACGTAGTCAGTCTCTAGAACCTATCTTGGAAGCAGTCACGTGTGCTTTACCAGGAGTTCCAGTGTAGTCCTGTTTTAAGCTGTATTTTACACACGGGATGGAGTTATTTATCACCCGGAAAACTTTCTCCAAAATTTTTCTCGCTTAAATACACATAAAATAAACTGCTGGGGTCAGACTCAAAGTTTGAATGAACACTGGCCACTGAGTCATCATTCTTGCTTCATGTAGATGTTACTCTGTTGGCCTTGGGGGTTGCAGTGACCCCCATTGTTATGTATGTGTACTGCCTGTGCTTTCAGTAGACAATGCTTTCTTCCTGACCCTTGGTCTGGTCTAGAGGAAGAGTCCCAGCTGTCCCAGCCTCCCCTGCCTGTGGCTGCAGATAGCCATAGCCCGCTTGCTGAGAGGATAGGACAGAACTGAGCCAGTTCCCCATCCATCCTCTGCCAGGAGAATGGGACTCAGGCCCAATAAACCCATTTAGTGCTTAGGAGGCTCAAATCCTTTGCTGACAGTGAGCAGAAGACCATTTATCCTCCCAGGGAGGGCTGGGTTAGAGAAGGAAATGAAAAGGGAGCTAAGCACAACGGATATACTGCTGTGAGCCTTTATCATTTACTATAGAAGTAGCAATTAATATTCTAGGTATCAACTCCAGAATATTTGTTACTAAAAATTTGGCTTCATATGTCGGGAGCCAAATCTCAGGGCTTGGCATGAGATCCTAGGCCATGCTTGGCAGGCCACATAGTTAAACTTTACATAGCAGCTCCTTAGAACCTCAGCTCAAGAAAAGAAACAACCTGACCCAGTCCTCCACCCACAGGCTCAGTCACCTAAGCAACCCTCCCTGGACCTCTTAGTCATAAACTCTTTACCCTGCCAAACCCTCTTTGTGGCTTCCTAATATCCTGTCTATACCAACACCTGGTGCACAAAGAACCCATTCAGCTCCTCCCCATATCCTGACTATATAAGCTAGCCTGAGAAAAGTAAAGTTTGCCACTTGATCAGAATCCTGTCTTGTGGTCATTCTTTCTGTGTCTCTTGTCCCCATTCCCGATTGAAAGGTACAGGGATTATGCTAGACTGCCCCTGTTACCTGGTGGAACAGGCAGTACCCTGGTCAGCCCAAGGTTCCATGGGAACTAAGTCTGCACGCAGGTGCAGAGGACCCCTTTAAAAGACAAGTCCCTGCCCATTTACGCTCTCTGTTTCCTCTGTGTTTCCCCACTCTGCTTTGTCTCTGCTTTCTCTCTACTCTGTCTCCCACCTATGCTCTCTCTCTGCCTCTCTATGGTGACCGGCCATGGCGGACAGCCATTTACCCCTGTTCCTCTTCGTAGTCTCCCCATTCTGCCGGGCCTTATAATAAACTTATAGTCTTATGTCTCATGTCTCAGCATTTCTCTTTTCTTCTTTTTAAACAAAAGAATAACACCTATTCCTGACTCTCTTGCCCCAGGTTGATGTCCTGTAGGTCGGGACATTCATATAGGATATATACTGGGTGCTTTGTATTCTCCAAAAGGCCCAGAGAAAGGAAATTCCTTCTCACCAGGGCATCAGCAGTAAGAGCTGCAGCCTCCAGACCGCACATTCCATAGCCTTAGTTTTTCCCCTTGATATAGGACTGAGAAGTCCCTTTTAATCAATTAATGGAATGTGTTGCAAGTCACATGTCCCCTCTGAGACATGAGATGCCTGCTTTTCTAAATGTGCCTATGGGATGAAGAGGAACTTTTGGGGACTTTTTAGAAGACTTTTTTAGAGAATTTTTAGAAGGAACTTTTTGGAGATTTTTTAGGACTCAAGAATTTTTAGAAGGAACTTTTAGAGAATTCTTAGAACCCTAGGAGAATTTTGAAAGAGAACTTTAAGAGGGTTTATAAAAGGAAAACTATTAGAGAGAACTTTTAAGGAGAAATCTTGAAGAGAGCTTTTGAGAGAGAACTTTTGGGAAGAACAGTTTTTGAAGAACAAATTGCCATGAGAGGAACTGGTATGTGAGCCAGTTTATTTCCTTTTGGCCCTCAGATCATTACTTTGTAGCAAACCCCATCCCACTAATCCTCGATAATGTACAAGCAAGCACTGAGTCCTAGGAAAGACAGCCTGCCAAACCAGGCAGGAAAAATACTCATTTATCAAGAGCTTGCAGTGGAAGCCAGGTATAGCAGAGTAACCCTCCAATCCCAGCACTCGGAAAGTTGAGGCAGGAGGATCACAAGTTCAAGGCCATCCTAGGCTATGTAATGGGGGTCCCTGTTTCAAAAGCATGTAGCTGTTTTTACAGATACAGAGGAACAATATAACATACAATGTTCCCACGCTATAGTTTCTGCCTCTATTTATTGATTTACTGTCAGGTTCATGTTTGCTTGCTTGAGATACAGTCTTGCTATATGGTCCAGCCTAGCCTCAAACTCATGCCTCCTATGATCACTTCCAAGTTCCAGGAGTACAAGCATATCCCTCCATGCTGGTTGGGTTGTTTATCTTGGCTGAACTATATTTCCTCGGCCCACATCAAGTTTCTTGTGAATAAAATAATAAGGATTGTAAGAGACATGGACTGTCAGAAAACCAAGGTTAATTCTTCATTTCCACATCCTTAACTGGGTCTTCTATTACTTGGGGAGTTTTAAAAAGCAAACAGCCCACTTAAACAACAACAACAGTGACATTGCTAGCCAGTCACATCAGAGTCCCGAAGGCCCTGGGCAGCAAGCACAGTTTTGAAGCTCCTTAGGCAGTTCTAGCATCCACAGAAGGTTGACATGAGCTATTCTACATGAATCCTCCCAGGAACTCCACCAGAAAGCAGTGTTCTGAGGGAAGAGGCAGGGCCAGACTTCAGAAGTAGGGTTCTAGTTTTATTATGACTTGATATGCCATGTTTGGTTGATATCCCTGGGAGACCTGCCCTTTTCTGAAGGGACAAAGAGGAGGAGTGGATGGGGTGGGGGAGGGACTGGGAGGAGAGAAGGGAAGGGAAACCGTGGTTAAGCTGTAATATATAAGAGAAAAAAAATCTGAAAAAAGGAAGTCAGGATTCTCTGCCACATAAGAAAGATTCTTAGCACACCCCTGCCATGAGCGTCTTTCTAGAAGGTGTGTGTACTGATACAGCTCTTCTCATGGATTATTTGGAGACTTCATTTCCACTCACCCAGCTGAGGAAAGCTTCCCAGAGGCCAGGGGGACCCAGAGTTTCCTCGGGAAGAAGGAAAAGCCCCAGGGTTACTACCTTGAAGCTGGTGGTGATGGAGACATATTTGTTGTCAGCTGTCTCTGAGTTCCCAATGAGGTAGTCCCAGCTGGTGAACATCTTGAAGCTGAATGTGAAGTTGTCACTCTCTCCCTCACCGGTGCTCCCTTGAGTATTGCTGGCCATCCTGGAGGACATATGTCACTGTTGTCACACCTGTCTCTTTTCTGCTACATCAGCCACCAGGATCCTTGGCCTAAGTCAATCTTGGGCACAAGGTGAAGATGACAAGCAATGAAGGAATAAGCCGGGGAGGGACATTAGCTAGGGCGATTTTGATTACAGCCAGAGAAGTTCTCTCCCCAAATTCAGAGTTTCCTGAAAGCACTCATGTTGTGTGTTAATGAGTCTGCAAAGTATAGGACACCTCATTATGTTTTCTGTCCTTGCATTTGGCTTCTTGAGGTTTGACTCATTTGTGTTCACAGTCTGAGAACTTGGGAACTCTATTCACAAACAGAAATGTGACTTTCTAAATCATCTAGTTTCCTTCCTTCCTTCCTTCCTTCCTTCCTTCCTTCCTCCCTCCCTCCCTTCCTCCTTTCTCTCTCTCTCTTTCTTTCTTTCTTTCTTGTTTTCAAGACAGGGTTTTTCTGTGTAATAGCCCTGGCTGTCCTGGAACTCACTCTGTAGACCAGGTTGGCCTCGAATTCACAGACATCCTCTTGCCTCTGTCTCCCAAGTGCTGGGATTAAAGGCATGCACCACACTACCACCCAGCATCATCTAATTTTCTTGGCTAGAGGTATGTATTTTTGATATAAAACTCAGTAACTTGGGCTGGCTTGTCTCAGCTGTTAAGAGCACTTGTTGCTCTTGAAGAGGACCCAGGTTCTATCTTCCCAGCATCCACATGGCAGCTCACAGCTGTCTGTAACTACAGGTCCAGGGGGGTTGACATCCTCCTCTGACCTCCCTAGGTACCAGGTACACATGTGGTACACTTACAGACATATAGGAAAAGTGCTCATACACATAAAACAATAAGTATTTTTAAAAACTCAGTTAACTCTGGAGGATGCTGGTTGTATGATCTGGTTAATATATCCTTCATCAAGCTTGGATGAAGGCACCCAGACCTTCCTTGTTGGCTACTTGTTTCACCCTACCTGATCCAGCCTCTCTGTACTCCCTGGTGCTCAGCCTTGTGGGATCACAGAATTCTAATCATGTATTCCATCAGAAAGTATGGGGGTTTTATGCTCCTCCCTAACTCTCTCTTGCCTGTTGACTGTTTTGGACTTGCTGTTCCACAAGGCCTAAGTATTTTTGGTTCATCACAGAAATATTCCATATTCATTGGACTGGACTCATTTTTTCTTCAAAGAATATAAATTAAGAGGAACAGATAAATCTGGGGGAGACGGATTCATTGTTAAAGTGCTTGTTATAGGCAAGAGGACCCAAGTTTGGGTCCATAACACCCAAGTAAAGAACCAGGTGTGATGGCATGGGTCTGCAGTTCCAGGGTTGGGGAGGTGGAGACTGGTGGATCCTCAGAACTCACTGGCCAGACAGCCTGGATTAACTGGTAAATTTCAGGTTCAATGAGAGCTCCTGTCCCAAAAAATAAGATGGAGAATGATTGAGGAATACACTTATGTACGTTTAAAAAAAGAGGCACCAATGTATAAAGCCCAATCTTGACCACAGAGGTAGAGCTGGGGCCAGAGACGATGCCATGACTAAAACTACAGCCACACAAATTCTTTTGGTATAGGTCTATTATTTATATCATTATTAATGGCAGGATTGGCACCCCTATTTTTTTTCTTCTAAGGAGTGTGAGCCCCAGAGAAAAGAAGAATCAGGCTGTAAACTTCCAGCCACCTTATCTATACTCCCTCTTGGACTACAGTGGCCTTTTGCTAGTTTGGGTAACTGGATGGGCTACCTAGATGGGCATTTTAGAATTGTTTGCTGTCTTTGAGTCTTTGCATATGTGCCTTTTCCACTCACATTTTACATTTCAAACTTTCAGCATAACTGGCTGTTCTCTGCCTTGTTTAAAGGCGTTTCATTTCATAAAGCTAATTTCTCATAGCTTCACAAGTTATCTGGCTTATCACTTATGTCTCATAATCTGCATTTGCTTAGTGTGATCATTAATTCTAATTGTCTACAAGATCTAGAATCTGCTAGGAGACAAGCCTGTGGACATATAGGTGAGGGGTTTTCTAGATTAGGGTAATAGAGTTGGGAAGACCCAACTGTTGGTGACACTATTCCATAGTGACAGCTCAAGTGACTAGCAATCATCGCTCTGCTTCCCCACTGAGGAGGCAACGTGACCAGGTGCCTCAAGCCGCTAGAATTCCACTACCATAATGGACTGTACTCTAAAACTGTGAGCCCCAATATGCTCCCTTCCCCTTAAGTTACTTTTGTTATTGCCACAGCAGTATCACAGGGAACTACTAGACTTGTGTAGTTGCTCATTTGCTTACTTTGAAGTGTTCACAAGAAAGTAAATGCACATAGAAGAATCAGAGGAGAGTTGTTTGAATGAAGAAAGATCAAAATCCACAAACAAGACACTTATACTTACGATCTAATGACAATCATCAAGCTGTAGCCAAACACGCTGACCCCCACCATAAAGTACGCCATGGGCAGCCTGTACCTCAGCCACCCGATGGTCCTCTGGTTGTTGTAGTAGCCATAGAAGAGAGCAGAATATTTGATGTAGCCCTGTAGGAAAGACATCAAAGTCTCTGGGTTTGTAATCTCAGAGGAGAGAGCAATTACTCACTTCCATTCTAGCATTTGAGCATTCTGTCTCAAAGATTTTTTGGTTTGCTTTGTTTTTTGTTATTGGAGACAGAGTTTCTCTGTGTACCTTTGGAGCCTGTCCTAGAACTCATTCTGTAGACTAGGCTGGCCTCAAATTCACAGAGATCCACCTCCATCTGCCTCTGGAGTGCTGGGATTAAAGTCATGTGCCGCCACAGCCCGGCCTCTCTCAGGGTTTTAAAGCAAGTCTACAGAGAAGAAGAATCCTAAATATGCAAGTCATAGTGTCTCCAGAGGCCATGCACAGTTGTTGTCTATTCTTTCCTCATTCTTCCACTGCAGGAAGTGCTTGGGGATTCAGGAAGGAGAGAGAGGAGAGTATGTTTATGTTTGTGAGCACATGTACCCAGCACATGCATGCAAGAATGCACAGCTTCAAACTATTGTGTTATATAGCCAGGCTCTTATTTTGGGGTGGGGGTGTGTCTAAGACAAGGTTTCTCTGTGTAACAGTCCTGGCTGCTCTGGAACTCTCTCTGGAGATCAGGCTGGCTGTGAACTCACAGAGATCGGCCTGCCTCTGCCTTCTGAGTGCTGGGATTAAAGGTGTGTGCCACCACCGCCCTGCTCTTTTTTTTAAATTTTTATTCTTTTCTCAAACAATACATTCTGCCAGCAGCCCCCCTCCCTCCTTTCTTCCCAGTCGACCCCCACCTGCCCTCTCCCCCAAAACCACTGCTCCTCTGTTTCCCTTGAGAAAAGAGCAGGCTTAACAAGATTTGGTAAAGACTAGGTACAACCTCTCCTATCAAGGCTGGATGAGGCAACCCAGTAGGAGGACAAAGGGCCCAAGAGAAGGCAAAAGAGTCACGGACATTCCACTCTCACTGTTAGGAGTCCCACAAAAACCCAAAGGTAAACAACCACAACATACTTGCCGAGGATCTAGTGTCCCCATGAGCACTGCTTAGTTGATTCTGTGGCCTGTGTTCTGGTGTGGACCACTCTGGCTTCTACAATCTTCCTCCCCTTCTTCCTGGAGGTTCCCAGAGCTCTGTAGCCGGATTCTTTTTGTTTTGTTTTGTTTATTTTGTTTTGTTTTGCTTTTTGGTGCCCCTACCATAGCTAGGTTCTTAATGTGCCAAAACCAGACAAGAGTTTGTGGAATTTTGTAACAGTTCAAAATGATCTTGGACAGCTGTGTAACATAAACTCCACAACTTGTTGGCAGCACTGGTACCAGGCTATGTGGCCTTGGGAACCCTTTGAAGCTGCAGAGGAGAGGCATGGAGGGTGAAGACGGATAACCAGTGGAAGAAGATTCCAGGGGAGGCTCACCATCAGGGTAGTGAGGCCCTGCATCGTGCTGTGTGCTCAGAGACCCCTGACGTCAGTATGTGGGGCTCTCACGCAGAGGCCTTAGACAGTAGGCCGCACACTGTTCTTTTGTAAACTCGATGAAGATCATTGGCTTTAATTCCAGTGGGAATGGGAAGCAAGGGACAGACAAAGTAGGAGAGGAGATGCTCCAATCTGCATTTTACAAAATTCACTCTGGCGGCGGAGGAAATGGGAGATGACACCATCTCCGCAGAGACAAGGCAGGGCGTCCTGACGTCAGCCATGGTCAGCTAGGCCCAGCACAGACGCAAGGGGTGGGGAAACATTTTGTATTTTGTATTTGAAGAAAGCATCACTTTTCAACACCTAAAAGCAACATTTGCATTATCTACTTACTTAATAAGATGTTTCCCTAGGGATCCCTGGGTGAAATGAAGGATAACGAAAAGCCCTGGGAGCAGTGTGGCCGGGCACCTCAGGAAATTGCTCCAGTTAACCCCTCCATTTCTGAGAGGACTGGAATTTGACTTTTGAGGGTGAAGGACACCGGCTCTATAATCACAAATGGAAGTGCGCTGATGCCACGGTTTGTACCTCAAAATCCCAGAGGACGGCGAAGTCCATGGCTTTTTCTTCCTCAGCTCGGGGCACTGTCTTCCTGGGAATGCTCCCATAGGGCATGCCCATCAGCACCTCACGTGGGGACAGATGACAGAGTGTAAGCGGAAAAAGTGCGAAGGATAACCATAAACGTGCTTGACAAATCCCATTCCATCAGATGACCTCACTCACACCCTTATGGAAAAGATAAGAATCCGCTCAATTCACAGATTGATTTAGGGTGGGTTGGCTTTTCAAAACAATATTTTATTTATTATTTATGTGTGTGTGTTTGTGTGAGTATATTGGGCACCTGAGGAGGCCAGAAGAGGACATCAGACTCTCCGGAGCTGGAGTGACAGGTGGCTGTGAGCCACCTGGTGTGACCCAACTCTAGTCCTCCGGAGGAGAGGGAGATGCTCTCAACAGGTGAGGCATCCTGCCAGGCTTTAGGTTGGCTTTTGAAAAACAATGAAATTAATTTTTCCTTCTGCACTGTCTCTGCACTTATCATCTTATTTTGTCCATTAAACTTTACAGTGCCCCTCTTGGAAGTCTCCTAGTCCACTAATATTTACTAGTGACGTTAGAGATTTATTGTTCTTGTGCCAACATTTTTGAGTGTATTGTAAATCAGATCATCAGAGTGTAGAGATTTGTTGGCAATGTTTGTCTGTTTAGTGACTGTAGCCAGCTCCTTAGAGTCTTTTATTAAAAGTCAAGCACTTTTTGGTTGAATACATGGATTTAGGGGCTTCTGTAGTGATATTACCTATGGACAAATTGTATATTTAGTACAAAATATTCAATGTTTTGATCTATTGGCTAAAGTAAAAATTTAAAAAAATCTTGACAGATACTAAAGATAAAGACAAATGATGCTGCTCTTAGGTTTTGTAGCATCATATTTGACATTTCACTACATAGAATTACTTTTGCTTGTTAATTTACACGTTCATGACTTCAGATCTGTCCCTCTCTCCCCGGCACCCCACTTCCTCCCTGACACCCCACCAGCCCTCTTTGAGTCTGGGTTTGTAGTCCAGGTTGACCTAGAACTTGCAATGACCTTCCTGCTTTTACATCCCCAGTGCTGGTATTACAGGTATGTGTCACCCAAGTTCTGCTGTTTCTATTTGTAGGTTTTAATTTATACTGTTATTGGGAAATACGATACATATAATGCACAGGTATAGCCAGTTATAATAATGAAACTTAACTACTTTTCATCTAACTGTCATCTAGCTTTTAAAAGCTCCACAAAACTGGGGCTAGGGAGATGGCTCAGTAGATGAGAGCAAGTGCAAACATGAATGTTACAATAAATCTTTCTGCCAAAAGCCGCCGAGCCCCACCACCACGTGTGTGCTTTATGCCAGCTGCCAACCTGAGTTAGGGCCCAAATTAATACACAGAGAGACTTGTATTAGGTTCAAATGCTGCTTGGCCAATGACTAGGATTTCTCATCTGCTAGCTCAGTCTTAATTATCATAAATCTATATATTTTATAAGACTTATCTTATCGGACGCCTTATGGGCGTCCCTCCTTGCCGGTGGCTCACATCCTGCCTCTGGAGGAGGCGAAGGGAAAGAGGGACATTTCCTATTTCTCCTTGCTCAAATATGAGTCTTCTTGCTATGTCACTTCTGGCCTGGATCACCACTTCTCTACTACATTTCTCAGAATCCTCTTTGACTCCTAGTCCTGTCTAACTTGCTGTTTCATTGGCCAAACAGAACTTTATTAAACAATAAGATAAATATACACAGAAGTACTTCCCCCATCACATGAGGACCTGAGTTAGAGTTCCCAGCACTCATGCAAAAAGTTGAGTATAATTGCAGGTGCTATGACATCAGGGCTGTGTGCGTGCGCTCGTGCGTGCGTGCGTGCGTGCGTGCGTGCGTGCGTGCGTGCGTGCGTGCGTGCGTGTGTGTGTGTGTGTGTAGAGTGGAGATCAGAAAGGAGAATTGCTGGGCTCTCTGGCTACCAACCTAACTCCATATTCATGGAGAGAACATGTCTATGTGTGCTTGCTTGCTTGTTTAGTCAGAGTCCTACTATGTATCTCTGACTGGTCTGGAGCTTGTTTTGTAGACCAGGCTGGCTTCAAACTCATAAGAGATCTACCTGCCTCTGCCTTCCCAAGCACTGGGATAAAAGGCATGCATTACTGTGTCCAGTTGACAGACTCTGTCTTAAGGGAATACATTGCAAAGTGATGCAGATCAGGAAATCTTATATCTTACTCTGACCTCTGTACATGTGCATAGGCACACATACTTGTACACACATGTGCTCATATAACACACATACCCCCCTGACACACTATAAACAAGCAACAGGACCTTGTACATCTCCAGAATCATGCCCTGATTCACTTCAAGAGAGCTCATCTCCCAACGATTTCCTTAATTTTCCTTATAATTCACTTCCTTTTGCTTAGTTTTGCCTGTTTCCTCTCTCTCTCTCTCTTTAAAAATTAAGATAAAAGAAAAAATTTAACAGATCTTCATTTTTCACTCCTTCTAAGTACAGATGAAAGACAGAAGTGTGTTACCAGTTTCTTGATTCAGAATCCTAAGTATGTTGGTTCCATGCTCTGTACTGAATAACCAAGGCAATTGACATGAATTCTGAATACAAATGGAGCTGCACATTGCTTGTTTTTTTAAAAAAGATGTATTTATTATGTATACAGTGTTCTACCTGCATGTGTGCCTGAATGCCAGAAGAGGGCACAAGATACCATTACAGGTGGCTGTGGGCCACCATGTGGTTGCTGGGAATTGAACTCAGGACCTCTGGAAGAGCAGCCATTGTTTTTAACCTCTGAGCCATCTCTTTAGCCCCTTATTTGTTTAATTTTATTTTTTTAATTTGTTTTTACTTACCAACCACAATTCCTCTTCCCTCCCCTCTTCACCCTCTCCCCCCAGTGCATCCCCATATACTCTTCAGAAAGGATAAGACCTCCCATAGGGAGTCAACAAAGCCTGGCACATTCAGTTGAGGCAGGACCAAGCCCTCCCCCATCAAGGCTGAGCAAGGCATCCCAACAATATGGAATGGGCTTCAAAAAGCCAGCTCAGTGGTGCATGCTTATAATTCAGGTATTGGGAGGAATGAGGCAGGGGGATTATAAGTTTGAGGGCAGTCTGGACTGCATAGCAATAACTTATCTCAAAAGGAAAAAAAATTAAAAGAACGACAGATTATAGTTAAAATAAAATAAGAGCATTTGGAAAATGTAACTGAAGATAGTGGTTGTAGTAAAGCCTCAACAGTATCCGAAGGCATAGGGAATTCTATTCTTACCTCTGGGATGATGACTAGACCAAATATTAAGGCAAAAAGGACAAGGTTAACTCCATACATCCATCGGAGAAAGATGAAGTATGATGCCACTGAAGAACCAAAGTGACCTGGGGAGAAAGATGGCAGTGAACTGAGTCAGTGCGGGTGAGGAAACCAGCGTGCCTGTAAGAGTGGCTTTCACACCAGCCTGTCAAATAAACACCCAGGGTTCGATTTTCTTGTTCCAGATAGATAACCTGGAACTCTGTGGGGTAGCTGAGCCACCCGAGCTCTCCCGTGAGAGAGTGAGGAATCTGGATTGGAGTCTGGCTCCTATACTCATCCAGTGCCCACTTTTCCCTGGCAACAGAATCTATAAAATAATCTATGAAAGAATGTATGAAATAATCCAACCAGAAGGGCGGGTATACTCCGAATCTAAGCCTTGGGAGGCTTCTTTGAGGTAACCAATTAAGAAACAGTGATGTCAAAATACTGACTTTCAATGTCCTTGATCTTCATTTCCCAGGGAATACACTGGGTCTTGAAATTATCAAAGTCTCTCTTGAACTTGATCCATTTCTGAAATGAAACAGATAAAACCGTCAGTCATCAACATGTTGACCTGAAGCACCAGGGGGCACAGCTGGGTCATGGGGATGCTGAGGGAAATGGAGGTGGTGGTGGTGGTGTGTGTGTTGAAATGTTGAGGTAAGTGGCAGAGAACGGAATGGGGCTTGGATACTGTGGGCAGGCAGCCTGGCAACAGTAGGGGAGGGTGCTGAGAGAGAAGTAGGGCAGAGGCAATCGGGGTGTGTATGGAGACAGGAAACGTTTGCAGAAGACAGGGCTACAGCAAAGCGCATGTCTGTAGTGTGGAAGACAATTCAAATTTGGACATTTTGACATGAATTTTTAAATTTGCATAATTTTCTGGGTCCTCTGATGTAAATTTATTCATGTTAAAACAAAAATCGAGGGAAAAGAAATCAAGGAAAAAGAAACCTCATGACTCACATTGGGCAGAGAGCCAAGAGCCTCTAGCAGTTCACTGGAAGTGTCGCTAAGCTGCACTGAGATTCCAGCCCAGGGCTATTCATCCTTTCCTGGGTGGAGTCACTGATTTTGCTGGGTTGAAGGGCGTTAGGAAAGATCTCCTTCCCCTAGAGTGCTACAGTTTGGAGTTGAATGTCCCCCAAGGGCTCATGTTCCCTGAGGAGTGCTATGGAGGGAGGGATGGTGGAAATTTTAGGTCATGGAGTCTACTGGGAAGTCTCTAGGTCATTGGGTGTCTGCCTAAACTGGACAGAGAGAGCCTATTCCTTTTCTCCTCCTCAGTTTTTTTTTCACTCTCTCTCTTCCTCACCCCCCTTTCTGAGACAGGGTCTTGCTATAGATCCCAGGCTGCCTGGAACTCAAGGTCCTCCTGCTACAGTTTCTTGAGTGCTGGGATTACAGACATCATCACCAAATATTGCCTTTTCTCTCTCTCCTTGTGTCCTGGACATGCGGTGTGCAGTATTGCTTTGCTATGTGAGCTGTAGGCCCAAAGCAACAAGGTTGCTCATGGATTAGGAAAACTGTGAATACGAGCCTAAATATGCTTCCATCTTTCTGGGCTATCTTAAGAATATGTTACAATCACACACACACACACACACACACACACACACACACACACACTTACTTCTATCTATAGATAGATAACTCAGTGAACCAGAACATCACCACCTAACAGATTTATAGGAAATAAAACTACCTTCTATAATAACCTTAAATGCAAATGGCCTCATCTCACCACTAAAAAGATACAGACTAATGGCTGGACTAAAAAATTAAATGTTGTCTGCAAGAACACACTTAACTGGCAAAGATGCCAAAAACTACCAAAGGATGCAACACATATGAGCAGGAAAATGGAAAGTATAAAGAAGCAGGCTTCCTGGGCAGATGTGGCACACGCCTTTAATCCCAGCAATAGAAAGGCAGAGGCAGCCAGATCTCTGTGAGTTCCAGGCCAGCCTGGTCTACAAAGTGAGTTCCAGGAACTACACACAGAGAAACCTTGTTTTGAAAAACCATTAAAAAAGCAGATTCAGCCATCCTTACATCAAAGTAAAATTCAAAAAGGACACTACACATTAATAAAAGTAACAGTTCATACAGAAGATATTACAGTTGTAAATTTTTATGCACCAAATACTGGAGGACCAAATTTCATAAAACAAATGTTAAAGACATAAAAGACCACGTAGGCCCTGACACAATAACAGTGGAGAACTTCAATGCTCCACTCTGATATTTAGAAAGGGCTTCCAATGAAAATCAGGAAACTTCAGAGATAAAATATACTTTAAATGAACTGGACTTAGCAGACATACACAGGAATTCTACTTAGTGTATAGGGAATACACATGTTCTTTCTCAGCAACACGTGGAATCTTCTTCAAAACTGATCATATGATAGGACACAAATCAAGTCTAAACAAATACAAAAGAAGAGATAACTCTTTGTGTTCTATCAGACCACAGTGGAATTAAACTGAAATCCAGCCAAAAGAAAATACAGAAACCACAAAAATTTCTGGAGACTAAAAGATGCATTTTTGAATGAACAGTTGGTCATCCAAGAAATCAGAGAGGAAATTTAAAAATCTGGAGACAGATGACAATGAAAACATATCCTTTCAGAAGCTCTGGGACATAGCTGAGGCAGTCCTAAGAGGAAAGTTTATGGCAATAAGTGGTATATTAAAAAATCTGAGCCAGGTGGTGGTGTTTCATTACAGCAATAGTAACCCTAACTAAGACAGAAATTGGTACTAGGACCATGGAGTGTTGTTGTGACAGACTTAACCGTGTCATTCTGGGGAGAATTGTGAGCTATCTGTGGTACCTTGGAAGATAAGTGTGATAAGAGAGAGCTGTCTTGTGGAGTCCCAAGGGGAAGTTTGAGAGTCACTTTGACTCTGTTGAGGATACTGTGTATCTTGAATTAAGAGTTTGTGGGTCTGGTCAGCTAGGACTGAAGCATCAGCTGTGATTAACTGACATAAAATCTTTACTTTACTCAGACAATTGATCCCAGTTAGTTGTGTCTGAGAGATTAGGGTAATTAAGAAGAGACCAGCATCACTGAGGTGAAATCTGGCAAATATTTCCTCAGAGTTAGCACACAGATTGTACTTCGTGCTGGCAGCTGAACTTGGTAGTGTAAGAGTCACCCAGGTAGTGCTGGTTTTGAAGGCATGAAGGGGTCATGGACAGCAGTGGAGGCTTGGCACTGTATTGACAGGGCTGGGGTCCCTAGAGAAAGCCCAGGAGAGGTTATTGGTAAAAGCGCAGCCCAGCTGCAGCGAGAGACCCCAGAATTTTGGAGATGACTACCATGGGATGACTACCAAGAACAGCAGCGGCAGTGGAGTGGAGCTGGGCTGATCTCTGAAGACAATCTGTGTGGCTGTGGAGAAGGAGCCAGGGAAGTGACTCAAACTCTTAGGAGGAGCTCAGTTCCTGAGTGGATCCCAGATCTTGGATACTGAGTTATTTATGCAGTTGGAGTGAGGTTTTGCTTTGTTTAGCTTGTCACTGTGCTCTGGTTCTTCCCTCTTGAAATAAGAAAGTATTTAACTTATTTTTGATTTTAAAGGAGCTCACAGTTGAGAGACTGAACTTTTAAAGAGATTTTGGATTTTAAAAGAGACTTTGGGTTTTTAGTTTTTTGTTAACTTGGTACAAGCGAAAGTCATGTGAGAAGTGGGAACCTCAATTGAGAAAATGCCTCCATACTATAGTAACCCTAATTAAGACACCCACATAATCATATGAAACTGATTAAGAAGATAGAATCAATAAGAGAATACAAAGATTAGTAGTAGAATGCTTGCCGGTCATGCCTGAGAGTCTGGGCTCCATTTCCAGCAGCATATGCATTCTCTCTCTCTCTCTCTCTCTCTCTCTCTCTCTCTCTCTCTCTCTCTCTCTCTCTCTCTCTCTCTCTCTCTCTCCCTCTCTCTCCCTCTCTCCCTCTCACACACACATTCTCTCTCTCTCTCTCTCTCTTACACACACACACACACACACACACACATACACACTCACACAAGAACTAGATATAAAATTGATGCACAAATCTACTCTTTTCCACCTGCCTTAATAACTAGCTGTTACATAAGTGGAAAATTATATCATTCACAAAAGCAACAAGCATATAAGCTATGTAGAAGTAAACTTAAAACAGGGAAAATCTATATGACAGATCATACTGAAAGATATAAAATAAAGCTTGAGAAACAGTATTCTAGATGCAAAGAATACATACATCAAATCACACTAAGGACTTAAGATAACTTCACACTCACATGTGTAACTCAAAGAATTGAGCTTTTAAGTGTTGAGAGTGATGGGAAGTGGGGAGGGCAGGGGTTGGAAAGAAGAGAACAATGCTGAAAGGTTAGTCATTGGGTACTGGGTTAGACAGAAGCAAGATGTTTAGAGTGCTGATTGATAGCTGAGACGTTACAGATATCAGCCTTCTGTCTGTCATAAAAGGCTACAAGAAAAGATTAAAAAGTTCTCACTATAGAGAAATGATATATGTTGGAGGTGATGGATTTATTTAACCTGGTTAATTAATTTAATTTAAATGACATACAGGGTATACGTGCATGAAGTATTACTCCATTCATGTTACACTGTTAATATTTAATTATTTAGCTGATACATAGAGCATTAATGCTTTTTGTGCTTTTATGAATCAGTTAAAATAGTTACTGTATCAGTCAAATATTTAACGACCCATTTTGGAATTTGGCAAAATGATTTTAAGAATGGATGTGGAATCATAAGCAGGAGAAGAGATTTTTTTATATAAATCTATCTATCTATCTATCTATCTATCTATCGATCATCTATCTATCTATCATCTATCTATCTATCTATCTATCTATCTATCTATCTATCTATCTTTTACATCCTGGCTGATCTATCATCTATCTATCATCTATCTATCTATCTATCTATCTATCTATCTATCTATCTATATCTGTTTTACATCCTGGCTGAAGTTTCCCCTCCCTCCTCTCCTCCAGCCCCTCCCCTGCTACTCCCCTCTGTTCCCACCCCTCAATCCACTCCTTCACTGTTTCTGTTTAGGAAAGAGCAGGTCTCCCATGAATACCAATAAAACATGGCATATTGGTATATCAAGTTGCAGTAGGACTAAGCACTTCCACATGTATTAAAGCTGGGCAAGGCGACCCAGTCGCCTTGAGGAGTAGGGTCTCAAAATCCTAAAAAGAGTTAGAGACAGCCCCTGTTCCCACTGTTAGGCACCCCACAAGAACACCAAGCTACACAGCTGTAACATATATACAGAGTACCTAGGTCAGTTCCATACAGACTTCCTGGCTGTTGGTTCAGTCTCTGTGAGCCCCTATGAGCCCAGGTTAATTGATTCTGTGAGTTTTCTTGTAGTGTGCTTGACCTCTCTGGCCCTTACAATCCCTTCTCCTTTACTTCTGCAATTTCACAAACTCTGCCTAATGTTTAGCTGTGGGTATGCATCTGTTTCCATCAGTTGTTGGGTGAAGTCTCTTTGATGACAATTGGGCTAGGCACCAATCCAGTCACTGGAGATGACCAGTTCAGGTTACATATCTGCTATTGCTAGTAGTCTTAGCTGGTGTCATCCTTGTAGATTCCTGGGTGACTCCCTTGCACCAGGTTTGTAGCTGACCCCCAAATGCCCCCCATTTCCAATAGTCTCAGTACTCTTCCTCTCTGTCCCCCAAACCTGATCACTCGTGTTCCCATTCCCACTGGCCCCCAGTCCACTCACAAAGAGGAAGAGATTTTAAAATTTTTTTGCAGGAATTTAATTTATTATTTTTATTTTATGTACATTGGTGTTTTGCCTGCAAGGATATCTAAATGAGAGTGTTGGGTCCTGGAACAGGAGTTACAAATAGTTGTGAGCTTCCATGTGGGTGCTGGGAATTGAACCCAGGTCCTCTGGAAGAGCAGCCAGTGCTCTTAGCAGCTGAGCCATCTCTCCAGTCCATGGAAAAGATTTAAAAAAAGGATAAAAGGAGAAAGCTAGAGCTGTCGTGATGTTAAATGATTATTCATAACAAGAGCCCTGAGGAATGAGGAATCATAGCTTTCAAATCAGAGGTAATTAACTCTACAGAAGAAAGGCTACTTCGATAAAACCCATATAAAACACCAGCTGCTCAAAGCAGGTTCTGACACAGCTCAATAAGCAGCGATGCCCACCCATTATGGGGACATCACTGTTCATCGTTCACACAACCCTGATGATTCCACAGCTTGTCTGTGTTTTCACCCAATCAAGATGCCTTGATTTGAGTACTGCAAAACAAAATAAATACCAATGATTTTAATACCATTCATTCTGTGGGTTTGTTTACAGTAGAGGAAACATGATGGGGAGGTCCTTCCGTGTATATGTTTGTCTTATTGGTTGATAAATAAAGCACTGTTGGCCAATAGGAAATCAAGACAGGTGGGACTAGGAGTCGAGGAGGATTCTGGGAAATGTACTAGAGGGATAGTCGCCTTGTGATCACCAGGAAGACAGGACGCATTCTATCAGCATCCTCAATAAGACAGGTTTATAAAATATATAGATTAATAGTTACGGGTGATACTTAACACAGAGCCGGCAAATAAGAAATCTTAGTCATTGGCCAGCAGCATTGTACCTAATATAAGTCTCTCTGTGTTATTTGTGTCCTTAATACGGCGGGTGGAACTCAGGCGGCTTGGCGGAAAGACTTATCATTACAGAAACACATCTCTACACATTGAAGCTCCACAGATGAGTGGGGCAAGGGGCAGCTGGCTTCTGTCCCTGGAGACTCAGAATGGTCTACCGGACCTCATATTCGGAATTCTAAGGGGAAGCTGACACTAATGGTCAAACTGGCAGTTCTTTGTCGTGGTCCCCCTATCCCCGTGCTGAGCAGGCCCTCTCACAGTTTGTTGTCTGAGGATCCCACATACCTTAGCCATCAGCATCCTGTAGGCGTAGAGGTGCTTGCCCTTTCCTTTCCCTAAGGCTCCTTCATACTTTTCCACAAATGCTTGGGCTTCCCTGGTCAGGTAAAAAAAAAATGCAGGAGGTGAGGAGAGACATGAATTAAATCAGAAATCTAAGGTGTGAGACTGAAAGCCTTATGTGTTTATACCATTAGCTAGAATAACAATTTTATGAAACAGGACATTTCATACACTGAACTTTCCCAAACGCCACCAATGCCAGAAATAGTTAGATACCGATAGATACAATTTTGTCATTACTCTCCAAGACTTTGCCCCTTGGTGTTACATCCGTGAATAAACTGTTACATGACAGGTGTAAGGAAAGTGGACAACTTTAAGACAGGGAGGTTCATAGGGTGTGGTGATGCACACCTTTATACCCAGTACTCGAGATAGAGGCAGGCAGATAGATCCCTGTGAGTTCAAGACCAGCTAGGCCTACATAGAGAGTTCCAGGGCAGCCAGAGCTACATGGAGACCCTGTCTCAACAGAACCAAAAGTAAATAAATAAATAAATAAATAAATAAATAAATAAATAAATAAAATAAAAAATAGGGGGGTTATTTTGGTCATCTGGCTAAGGCCATGACAGGAGAAAAGCAAAATAGAGAATAGGAGTCCGATAGACTAAAAGTAGAATACTCTTTGCTTTTACTTTTTAAATTAGTGTGTGTGGGCTTAAGTGTGCCACTATGCATGCGTGAGGTCAGAGGACAACTTTTGGGAGTCAGTTCCCTCTATCTGCTATGGGTTCTGGGGATCTAATCCAGGGTGTCAGGCTCATGTGGCAAGCACTTTTACCAGCTGAAACATCGTACCAGCCCATAGAGTTTTAGTTATAGTCAGAATATTGTGCTTTGAATCTGCAACGACCCCTACAAGTTCACATCTAAAGTGCTTGTTCCCTAGCTGCTGGTGCTGTTATGGGAAATTGTAGGGTCTTTAAGAGATGGAGCCTGGTTGGTGGAAGTAGATCTGGAGGGGCAGGCTTTGAGTGTTCTATCCAGTCCCTGGTTCCAGCTTGCTTTCTGTTTCCTGCTTTGATTTAACACGGCTGCCACCATCATGAACTCTGCTCTGCTTCTTCTGCTATGATACACGGATGCCCCTGTGAGTCAAAATAAACCTTTCTTCTTTGGAGTAATCGCTTTTATAGCTAACCTCCCATCTGCTGAGGATCCGGGGTCCTAGAACTGATCCTCATGGTAGGCAAGCACTCTACTAGCATCATGCTACACTCTCAGACCCAGTTCAGGTTGTTTTCTAAGACATTAGACTTCTGACGAGCAAGAACCACGTGACTGTGATTAAAGTAATGTCCTCAACTCACAGGCACTAGACTTTCTTATGCCAGTAACACCTCCCACCTTTTCTCATTGTCAATGATGTCTGTATGAAGATAAATTCTTTGATTTATCTTTATTTCCCAGCCTCGGCTTTCAGGACTCAGCATAGTATCTGACACAAAGGATGTTCAGAGATCTGCCTGCCTCTGCCTCCCGAGTGCTGGGATTAAAGGCATGCGCCACCAACGCCGGGAGTTGATGCCTGAAAAATCTTAAAAGTTGCTAGGCTCTAGTGCATCTGTAGGGAGACACTGTAACCACACCTCCTAAGGGCTGGCTACAGGTGTGCCTGACCACGCCTGTCAGGGCGTGGTCAAGGTGAGGTCAGGATGACTCGGGAGAGGTTCTTAAGGGACTTCGAGCACATGGGAGGCCCCTTCTCTCTGGCCTCGCTGCCTTGCTGCCCTGGGCACGCTTTGGCTTGCGTTTGGCTGGTATTTATCTGAATAAAGATACCTTAAACCTACAGGCTCTCGCTTTATGTATCTCTCTATGCAATGCTTACAGTAGGGAGGCTGCAAGGGCAGAGATCTTTTCCAGGTCAGTCCCCCCAGGTCAAAGACGAGAACTGCACACCCTTTTCTACAGAAAATAAGCCTTCTGTGCCATGAGAAGCATTGCCTACAGCCTACTCACCTACTCACACTCATTGTGTCTGCCATGGGCCAGGGTTTGTTCCACAGCCCACTTACCTAAGCTCCCTGAGCTTCTTTGCCATGGGCCAGGGTTTGTTCCTCATGGTGGCGATGAGTTTCTTCTTTTCTTCCACCTGCTCCAGGATCTGAGCCATCTCCTCCTCAGACAGGGACTCTCCAGTAGAGACACTGGAGGCTACGGAAGTGGACCTAGGGACAGAGCCATGGCAGATAGGGTGAGAGTTATAAGGGCTCTGGAAAGGGGAGGAATTCCCAGGAAAGACGGGCAAGATCTTTGACACTCACAGAGCTGATGGAGCCTGTCCCTACCCTCTCAAACTTTATTTTTCTGAGTTCTCCATCTATACACACTCTAGCACAGTAGTGTCCAATAGAAATAAAAGGGGAGCCACTTTATTTTTGAGACAGGGTTTCTCTGTGTAGCTTTGGAGCCTATCCTGGCACTTGCTCTGGAGACCAGGCTGGCCTGGAACTCACAGAGATCCGCTTGCCTCTGCCTCCCGAGTGCTGGGATTAAAGGCGTGCACCACCAATGCCCGGCTAAGGTGAGCCACTTGTAATTTAAAATTTTTCTTCGTTCATTTGTCCATTCATTTGTTCCGTTTTCCTTTCTTGTCAGGATTTCAGGGCTGACAAGATGGCTTACATGGCAATGCATAAGGTCATTTTCCGTGCCCCCCACCCCATACACTGTGCTGGCTAGTTTTATGTCAACTTGACACAAGTTAGTGTCATCTGAGGGTAGGGAGCCTCAGTTAAGAAAATGCCTCCGGAAGATTAGGCTGTAGGCAAGCCTGAAAGGCATTTTCTTAATTAGTGATTAATGTGGAAGGGCCCAGCCCATGGTAGGTAGTGCCATTCCTGGGCAGGTGGTCCTGGGTTCTATACAGCAAGCTGAGCAAGCCATGAGGAGCAAGCCAGTAAGCAGCACCCCTCCATGGCCTCTGTATACATTCACTACAGATTTAAAGCCTGAGGAAGCCCTTTATTGTCTCCAAATCTTTCATAAATATGAAAAGCATGGCATGGTTTTCATTTGAAAAGCTCCTGTTGAGAATGGTAAAATGTGGGGCTGGAGAGATGGCTCAGAGGTTGAGAGCACTGACTGCTCTTCCAGAGGTCCTGAGTTCAATTCCCAGCACCCACATGGTGGCTCACAACCATCTATAATGAGATCTGATGACCTCTTCTGGTGTGCAGGCATACATGCAGCCAGAATACCGTGTATATATAATAAATAAATAAATCTAAAAAAAAGAGAGAGAGAGAATGGTAAAATGTGACCACAGGTATTAGGCCCACTTTTTTTTAATTTTATTAGTTCAAATTAGGAACAAGTTTGCTTCAGATATCAATCCATTCTTCCTCTCCCTCCCCTCCCCCCCAACATCCCACCTGCCCCTAGTCATCCCCCCTCCACTCCCCAGGCAGGGTAAGACCCTCAAAAGGGGCTCCCAAAAGTCTACCACATCATCCTGGGCCAGGCCTAGGCCCTTCCCCATGTTAGACCAACTTCTAAGGGGCAGTGATGTCCTCAAGTAGTGAGCATGCTGAGGTTATAAGATCATTGCACCATTCAGAGTTTAGACCTAAATCCCTACAGTGAACAGGAAGAAATAAGATTCCCAAGTATTCAAATGCAAATAATAAGCATTTCTGTCTCACTGATTTTTTTTTAAAATTCACCTATTTTCTTCTGTTATTTTATAGTGTTATAATAACAACAAAAATATATCAAACAACAACAACAACTTCAGGTCAAGAGAATAGAATCTCTGGCCTGATGGAGACCTAACATTCCAGTTGGGCAGGGTCAATCTCTTGGCCTAGGGACCACCCTCGGGAAGGTGGGCTCACCTTACTCCATGCTAAAGAGACGGGTGGAATAATTAGTCCTTCAGTAAGACACAGTCCCCCCACCCCCGCCCCATCCAGGTCTCTAGTGTAGTAGCTTACCAGAGTACAGTTATGTAGTTTATAAGTCTGCTTGCTTTTTTGAGTTATCCAGAAAAGGTAACTTTTCTTCTCCCTCTTTTCCAAGCATGCTTTTCCTAGCACTTTGGGCTTACCCAACATTTTTGGGTTCCTTACGCTTTCTCTAAAGCCTCCCTCCACAACACGAGGCTGCTTGTCCACCATGTGACTGGCTTACATACCATCTTCAATGGCATGGCTTTCCCCTTTCTCTCTTCCATTCTTTGGGCAGCCACTGCAGTTTACAGCTGGCCTGCGTTGGGGTTATTTTAAACCTTAATAAAACTGTCCTTAAGTTTTCATTTGGGTCTACTCCTAAGTTCTCTTATTAATGAGACTCAGAACCCCAAGAGGGGACTTTGAATTTCTCTGTATCAATAGTTTGTTAGATGCCTTCTTTGACTGTAACATAATACTGAGAATGGGCAATGAAACCTAACTGCACTGTGTCATTTGAGATTGAACTTTGAGTCAGAATAGCTATTCATGAGCCCTGGCACCAGTCAGGATAAGACAGAGAAACCCCAAGAAATCCTGTTCAGTGAAGGGCCCACTTGTCTCACTCCAGCTTGGAGCCAGGTTGCAGTTTGGATTACAGATAAGTCAGCAAAAGCGTGAATCGACACAAAAGCACGAGGAGCACTCTGACACACCAGAGACTTCCTATGGCTGCAAATGTCAGTCCAACAGCTTGCAAAATTGGAAATTTTAATTTAAAGGTTTTTAAGAGCCATATTTAAATGGTGTCATGAAGCAGACAAGATTAAAAATGTATTTCATTAATTCAATCAAATGGTTTTTACCATTTTAGTCAAAATAATTTTAACATGATCAATGTAAAAATCATCTGAATATTCTTTTTTTTTCTTGGTCTTTTTGAGACAGGCCTTCTCTGTGGCTTTGGAGGCTGTCCTGGAACTAGCTCTTGTAGACCAGGCTGGTCTCGAACTCACAGAGATCTGCCTGCCTCTGCCTTCCGAGTGCTGGGATTAAAGGCGTGTGCCACCACCGCCCGGCCATCCGAATATTCTTTTTGACTTTTTGTTTGGTGGTCTTTTGAGACAGTGTTTCTCTGTGTGTAGCATTGGCTGTCCTAGAACTTACTATGTAGACCAGGCTGGCCTAGAACTCACAGAGATCCACCTGCCTCTGCCTCCCAAGTGCTGGGATTAAAGGGGTGTGCCACCACTGCTCTGTCAAAATATTCTAGTAATAGTCTTTTAGTACTGCCTTCACAATCTGATATTTACTCTTCAATTATAGTGCATATCAATTCAGACATCAAATTTCCATCATAAATATTTGCTCTGTATTTGTAGTTTGTAAAATTATAGTTGAAAAAGTAGACACACTTACGCTGATTGCTTTAGACATGTTTTAAAAAGTTTCCTCCGAATCAAGTGAAATATGGTTATTTTTCTTTGGTGTTTATATCATTTACAAAATACTTTGATTCCAAAGTCAGTCAGGTCAGTTTCAAAACTGTATCTGTCAATTCAAGTTAAATAAATTCACTAACTCAGTTGCATTAATGTCAAATTTAGGTTATGCTACATTAAATCAAGTTAGAAACTCATTTCTTCAGTCTCCCTGGCCACATTTCAAGTGCTCAATGCCTTGTGGTTATTGAACTGTCTAGTACAACTACAGAGAACTTCTGTCAAGAATCCCCATGCTATGCCCCTCCCCAGGCCCTGGGTATACTGTCTGCTCAGATGCTGTAGGATTCAAATTACTGTGTGTGCTCAGTACATCCTCAGTGATAAAGTGAAATGGCAGCTGACAGGACAGGTGAAAGGAGTCTAGAGAAAGGTTACGTGTGGTGGTTTAAATGAGAACAGCCCCCATAGGCTTATATATTCTTGGTTCCCAGTTAGTGGAACTAACTGGGAGAAGGATTAGGAGGTGTGGCCTTGTTGAAGGAGGTGTGCCACTGGGAGTGGGCTTTGATGTTTCAAAAATCCAAGCCAGATACATTGTCTCTCTCCCTTTCCTTTCCCTTTCCCTTTCCCTTTCCCTTTCCCTTTCCCTTTCCCTTTCCCTCTCCCTCTCCCTCTCCCTCTCCCTCTCCCTCTCCCTCTCCCTCTCCCTCTCCCTCTCCCTCTCCCTCTCCCTCTCCCTCTCCCTCTCCCTCTCCCTCTCCCTCTCTCTCTCTTTCTCCTGTCTGTGGATCAGGATGTAAAGCTCTCAGCTCCTGCCTTAGAGCCATGCCTGTCTGCTTTCCACTGTGATGATCATAGACTAATCCTCTGAAGGTGTAAGCAAGCTCCCAATTAAATGCTTCCTTTTATAAGAGTTTCCTTGGTCATGGTGTCTCTTCATAGCAGTAGAATACAAACTAAGACATTATGCTGGAAAACCTTCATGAGGCTCATATAGAGATTAATCTGGACTACTGCTACTTGAGATTTTGGAGGCTACTTTACAGAAATATCTGTGAGTTTTAGCTTTTTAACTCTTGGAAATAAAGAAATCTTAGCATAACCTTGGATGCAGAAAGCCTATCCATAGGCACTTTTGGTCATATCTCACACATTTCCAGGGATAGCTGTCTTTGAGTCTTTGTCTGATGTTTTCCCTCATTGGAGGGAGTTGTCATTGTTTAAATTCCATCAGTTCTCCAGATACTGAAACGCTTGTCTTCTTGTAGAGGAAACATGATGCTCCAGGGCCCCAGCAGTACAACACTATCAAATCTTGTCTTGTGTGCACGTTGCTTTCTGCCTTGTCTTAATTGAGTCTCATCTTTCCTACTAGACAATCAGCATCTGGGGAACCAGGGCTGAGTCTTTTCATCCCTGTCATGGTAGTCAGCTAAAAATGGCACCATTGAGTTTTTGTCTGTAACTCCTTATATTGCATATGTCATTTAAGGTATGGGTTTCTTCTAAAATTTAAGATACTCAAGGGCAATCAGCAATGCATTCAAGCCAGCTGAAAGTGTAGCTTAATGGTAAGGCATGTGCTTAGAATGCAAAAGGACCTAGGTTCAATTCTGGGCACAACAAACAAACAACCAAAAGAAAAGTCAAGGTTTGGTGGCATAATCCCAGCACTTGGGAGTTGAGGCCTGTTAATACTGTGCAGAAGTACAATGTCCAAACACAAACAAATGTGCTATCAGTATGTGGTGTGTGCATCTGAGTACAATGCTGAGGAACCAGAAGGGAGCATTGGGTTCCTGGAGTTGGAGCTAGAGGCGTTTGTGCACTGCCCAATGTAGGTGCTGGGAACTGAACTTGTATCTGGAAGAGCAAGCAGTATGTGCTCTTAACCACTGAGCCACCTCTCCAGCCTAGAATGAAGATACTCTGAAGAAACACTTGTGTCTCTCCCTTTGGTTATGAGATTATAGAAACATTGGTCCTCAGGAATTAGAATTTCCAAGGAATCTGCTGCTGGGAGAAGAAAAAGGCTGAATCCTGGTGCCAGCCCGAGGAAAAACAGGAAGAGATTTCACACAATTCTCACAGCTTGTCAGACCATCTTGCAGGAGAGATGGGGCTTGAAACAACAATGGGCAGGGCCATGCCTTGACCAGGACTGCCTAGGTATACACCTGCCCTTTATTGAAACCTAAACTTCATGTCAGGGCCTCCAGACAGAGTTGGGGTGGGAGGAGTAGTGGCTACTGACGTCTTTGGTCCTCTTCTCAGGGTGGTCCCATTTAATAAACCCCATTTTTCTTCTTC